CAATATTGATTTTCAGCCAGGAAAGGCAAAGGAGAAGGAAATGGAATTCGAGTCTCCCCCATCAGACCGGCAGACAGTAAATCCTCTCACGGCACCAAGCGCTGGTGAGGCTGTGGGGCAACAGAACTCTGGTGGGCAGTAATCTCGGCAAGCTCTTTGGGAAGGGATTTGGCAACTTCTAGTCAAGTGGAAGTGTAGCTGTGCTGCACGCAGGCAGATCTCCTTGCGAAGCACTCACAGGTAAGCAGAGAGGCGCGGAGCAAAGGAGGAACTACCCTAATGGGCGCCCCAGGAGACCCGGGGAAAACTCCCACCGATCCAGGCCTGCAGCCAGTGGGAGAAGGATGTGGACCACATGATGCGTTTGTAGAAAGTTACAACACACGCCAGGCAGTAGTATACATTGCTGGTGCATATGCCGACACGCAGGAAAGGCGTAAGAGTGTGCCAGGAGTAGGGGCTCCCCAACTTCGGATGGTGGTCACCTGGGGGCTCCAACTGAATCTGTCAGGTTCCATGTCTTTTAAAGGAAGAGACCTGAGACAGCCGAGCTGGTGGCGGTGCAGATACCCTGGCAGAGGCCCCAGTGGAAGTCAGGCGGGGCTGAGAAAGAAGAGGCAGAAGTAAAACCAGAAGTCAGCGGTTCTGAAGAGACACAGAGGACAAAGATCAAAGCGAAAGGCGGGAAGCGGAAGAAAAGACTAGAAAAACATGAAAATGGCTAGAAGGGCCTGCCGTGCTGCCAACAGCAACCAGGCTTGGGTGGCTCTCCAGCCCCACAGGGGCCTGGCCCTGGAAACCAGCCAGCCCCCCGCTCACTGAGCAGCGAGGCAGCGGCGGTGTGAGGGGCACCCAGGATGAAGCCCGCTTGGCAGCAGTGCACTCAGGGGTGGGGGAGCGGCGGAAATATACTGAGGCTGAAACAGCCAGGGCCACAGGCCTCCACTTAGTCGGGGAAGAGGCGCCCCTAAGCACACGACTATTTGGGGGCTCGTTTGAGGATGTAAATCACCTAGTTTATATTTATCCAAAGATTTCTGCTCCTGGAGACCTTCAGAGGCAGGAGGGAAATGCTTTGCCTGTTGGCTGTGCTGCTGTGAAACAGCTCACACAGGGCCGCGGCACTTCCTCTCCCCACGAGACATGACCACGGAGGGCGCCAGTTCACCAGGGTTTGGGACACTGTCATGTTGACAATGATCACAGCTGCAGTGTTTTATTTCTAAGTGTAAATTTGAACTATTTTATAACAATTATTACTTTTAATAATCTTATAATTAAAATTTTATAATGACAAACATCTGAAGCAGCTATAGGAGATGCTGAAACCTGACAGAGCCAACTGATGCACAGACAAGGAGAACTGGGGCCCCCAGAGGCCTGTTGTAAGCAAGGCCGGAACCCCAGGCTCTAAAGAACAAGAATCCAGACACACGCGACTACGTGTGCTATGCATGCTGCCTGCACATCCCCACAAAGCCAGGGAGAAACGACAGATTAAGAAAACATATTTATCATCTGTGTGACAGATGAATGATTAATGTTTGTAATACTACAAAAAGAGCTCTTGCAAATGGAAGAAAAAGTCCAAAAATGAGGAAAGGATATAAAGAAGCAACTTACAGAAGAACAAATACTAACTCCCAACAGACAAATGCACACGCACCAGTTGTGCACCTGTGCGTGTTGCACGTGTGTGTGGCAGGGGCATGAGCTATAATCACAATAAGATCTCACTTCGCCCCCATCAGATTGGCACAAACTGAAACAGCGTGCTAATGCCTAGCCGGGAGAAATGTGCATCATGAGCGTCAGTGGGAAAAGCACCCAGGGATTGAAACCCGCGCGAGCTTGCACTTCCACCGCACCCCTGACTGACCCGGAGGACGGCGGGCTCTGTGCTGCAGAGGCGGATGCGCAGTTTCCAGCAGCACTGCTCATAGAAGGAAAGCTGGGAAGGCATCCCCGCACTGGATGAGGATAGGGTGAAGGAGCCTGGTACCAGCCCCCAGCTGAGCACGGAACATCACTAAAGCGCAACCGGGCTGGGGCAGTGTCTGTGCCCATCAGATGGCTCATTGTCTGTCTGTCCCTCATGAGCCTGTATTACCTATACAATCAGAGCAAAAACACTACAACTGTTTTCACTGGGGGGCAAATTCCCAGGCTATGGTATGGGAAAGCAAGGAAGAGGCCAGGTGGCAACACTATTGTCCCTTCTTCGAGGGAGAGGGAGAGCCATGCTTTGGGTGAAGAGGCAGGACGCCTGGGTTTCTGATGCTCAGTGTTGCAACTTTTGGCCAAGCCCAACTTCTAGAGTTTCAGTTTCTGTGAAATGAGGGGGTTGGCACAGATAGTTTCTAAGATCCCTCCCAGCTTTGGAACCTTGCAACCGTTAGGCCAAACGCAGGGAGAGCGCCCATCTGGCAAGCACTGGCTTCTCAGCTGTGCGGGGTAAGACAGAGACAGTGACAACAACGACAACGGATAAATGAACAGGGAGGGGCAAGAAGAACTCCTCAGAGGCAGTGCGGACGAAAGGGCTGCAGAGCTCAGGGCAGAGCTAGGAGGGGGCACAGCCACCAGCCTCTTTCCTCTAGCATCTCAAACATTGCTGGCACCCTTGAACCCTGAGGCAGGGCTGAGGTGGCCAGGGCCGGTGGGGATGCAGGAAGCTGTGTGGCTAACGCTGGCCACACTTTGAGAAACACTGATCAAAAAGAGGGGGCAGGGAGAGAAGGTTCCAGGCCTCTGGCTTTGGTCGGCTCGGCTCAGTGTAGGGTTGTCTGGTCTAGCAAATAAAAAGATGGGACACCAGTTAAACCTGAATTTCAGATAAACAATGAACAATTTTTTAGTATAAGCACGTCTCATGTGAGATTTGGGGGACACTGGTACTAAAACATTATTCGTTGTCCTGCATTTCATCTGACATCTTTGGATGGGAGCCCCGGCAGGAGAGAGTAGGGTTGGGATTCTGGAAGTCTCTGCCCCGCCCGAGGTGTCCCTTCCACACGGGTCTCTCCTTTGGGTGGAGTCCCCCTCGCCCAGGGTCTCCCCAGGCCCCTGAGTGGTAGAGGCTCCCTGTGGCCCCTCCTCCCAGTGGTGTGCGTAGTACTCCATGAAACTGTCCTGAATCACCCTAATCTGAGTGTGCCACCTGTTTCTTGTGGGGACGCAGCCTGACAGAGGAGTGGAATAGAAACCAGAAGGTTCTCAGGGTTATTTATTAAATAGGTATTGGCAAAAATAGAATAGAATAAAACAAAATAAAATAAAATGTTATTGGAGCTCGAAAGTGTGGAATGAATGAGACAATGCAAAGGCCCGACAATTCTGTTGTCAACGAGGGGACAGCCACTAAGAGAGAAACAGCAAAGTGGGGACTCAATTGGCTACCAGGTGAAGAGCCCGCCCTATACAAGACCCTGGTCCCCCACACTCCTCCACTCTCCCAACCCCCCGTCTCTACGTGAGCCCCCAAGGAACTGCATCTCCCCCCTCCCTCTCTCTGGCCTCTTCCAAGTACAGGTGGCCTCTCTGGAGACACCTATAACCTTTTTCCTTTTTTTTTTTTTTTGTGGAAGATTAGCCCTGAGCTAACTGCCGCCAATTCTCCTCTTTTTGCTGAGGGAGACTGGCCCTGAGCTAGCATCCGTGCCCATCTCCCTCTACTTTACACGTGGGACGCCTGAGACAGCATGGCTTGCCAAGCGGCGCCATGTCCACACCCAGGATCTGAACCAGGAACCCCAGGCCGCTGAAGCGGAACGTGGGAACTTAACCACTGCGCAACTGGGCCGGCCTGCCTTTTTCCTCTTTGGGGGCGTATAGAGCCTCCGAGACAACGAACGTACCAAAGCTGTTTCCCCAAGCGAATGTTGCCCCTGCTCTTCACATGCCTGCATACCCTGCCTCTGGGCCCCAAGGCCTGGATCAGGCCCCACCATTTGCGCAGGCCTTGGGGGAGGAGTAGAGGCTGGTTGGCTGCCGCCCAGGCAGAGGCAATGCTTGTGGGCTCTCACCTGCTGGGTTCTTCAGGTGACAGCTTGGTTTAGACCCACCACCCACCTGAGATGGACAGAACATCTGGTCCAGGTACTCAGTTTCAAAAGCATCTTGGTAGTCATAGCAGCGGCCTGTAGGTCAACCAGGGAGGCTCCAGGGGGAGGGGCCCCAGGGGCCACTGCGCAGAGGCATGTCGGGGGCTGGTCTTGAGAAGCATTCGGCAGGAACAGGCGTCTGCTCTGCTCTGCCCTTGCTTGTCTCTAAAGACCAGATGCCTTTCAGGTTGCAGGGGATGAAGCGGGCTTCTAAAGATACATTAACAAGTGGGAGGAAAGCATGCAGAGGGCATGGCCTCCACGGGTCTGCAGAGGGCAACCCAAAGGCAGAATCCTCAGCATCTCTTGGACCCCAGCGTCACCCCCAGGCTCTCTGGTTCAAACATTGTCATCTGTACAAGAAGCACGCTTTGGGGTTTAAAGATGCCAACTCCAGGGCCCCATCCTGAGATGCCATCAAACATCATGGTTCCTAAGGACCTGGGGTGACAGGAATGCAGGGATCGCTCAGACCATGCTCTGGGTCTCTCTAATGGCGACAGACACACGACACCTGAGAAACCCTAGCTACTAAGGACATCTAAGCCACATGCTGGCTCTGAGGGTAGACCTGCCAAGCAACATTCTATTGAGAATCCAACTTTGGACATTTATACGTGTTTCTTCATCTAGACGTGCCCTGCTTTGTTCTACAAAGGACCTGAGGTGACGTGGCTTCCATGTGACCTGTGTCAGTCACAGATGTCATGTCATGGTGACATGCTCTGGCCTTCTGATTTCCCCATCAGTCTGCTGGGCTTGTGTTTAATGTGACTCAGTCTCCCTGAACCTAGTCACCTTTGGGGACACTCACCAGTAACCCTGCTGTCACCGGCCTGCACTTATAACCAAGATCCCAAAGCTATTACAAACAACCATTCTCTCTCCAACTGCGAATGTGATGGATTTCTTGGGGTCATTCCCCCCAACATTTTATTTTGAAAAATTTCAAATTACAGAAAAGTTACAAGAATAGTATAATAAACCCCACATCCCCTGAACCTAGATATTTGCTTTATCTCTTTGAAAGTTAAGTTGCAGAGAGTATAACATTTCACCCCTAAATACGGAAGCCCATCACTTTGAAGGAAGGGACAGTCTTCCGTGTAATCACCCTGTCTTCTCACACCCAGGAAACTGAACACTGATGACAGAGTGTCATCTGTTAGTCCATGTCCACATCGATGGTGGGGGGCAGCGGCTGTAAGTAGCTTCTTTCCATACTTTAATGCATCTTCCCCTCAGGAGGAAGTCTTTGGCGAGTGTTTAAATTTGTTAGAAACAAGAATGCAAAGTGGAACTGGAGCACATCACAGACTTTGGACCAGAAGTGGCCTGTGAGCCGCTGGAAGAGAGGCCACCGTGCGAGCCGACGGTCATACAGCTTAAGAACCACAAAGCCAAGGCAGGAGAGCACACCCAGAGCCAAGTACGTTCCCGAGGAGGTACTGCCATAGCGCCTGTGGGCACGCAGGGCCTGGCCCACAGTGGCTGCGATGTGTACACCCAGCGTGACCTCGAACCCCCAGGGGTGCAGCAGGGCAAGGCCGTAACTGCACAGGGAGAGGCACTCGATGGTGAGGAAGCCCCAGGGCATCCAGCCCCTGTCTAGAAGGAGGCACCAGGCCACTGGCCATGCGAAGATGGGCAAGGTGAGCCACTGGTCGAGCACGGCAGCAGGGCACGTCTGTGTCGCGATCCGCAGCCACTGAACGGGGCCATAGACCAGGGCCATGCCAGCAAAAACGTCCTTCATGTACCGAACCCTCTGCACCTCTACGGGGCGCCCCGGCGCGCTGGCATCTCTCTGTAGCCAGTACATTCCTAGGAGCACATAGGCCACGTTAATGAGCGAGTTAAAGGGCATGGCTAGCAAGGCGGGGAGGCTGGCTACCGGTGCTTCGGCATAGTGCTCATAGCCCACTTGGACGAGGACACCTTGGAAAAGGCCCGCATAGACGGTGGCGGCGCACAGGCAGCTGGCCACAGCCACATGGAAGAGGGCCCGCCCCGACTCAGGCTTCATCTGGAAGCCTAGGTGTGACTCAAGGCAGAGCATTTAAAAGAGCGGCGGCCTCCACGGTTCTTCCAGAATTCAGATAAACAGCTTCTGCCAAACGCTCCTCGGCCTCCCCGCTGAGCCAGCAGCCAGCAGGAAGAAGTCCCGTGATCTCCACGCTGCCCACGAGGCGGCCGCCGCCCGGCCCAGCAGCGTGGCGGGGGCAGGCCAGAGGAAGCCGGGGCTCCCGCTGATTGGCTGGCACGAGCGGAGGAACGTTCTGCCTTTTTCCTTTGTGGTTACAAAAAGAGTGTGGTTAGAAAGAAAACCATCCAAAAAAGAGCCTCCATCTTCCCGACTCTCAGCCTCAGGATCCACCAACAGTTTTCATCAGAAAAACAGTGATCAAAGTGAAGTGATTCCCACAGTATGGACGCCCTCTTATGCAGGGCCTCTAGAATCCTCTCTCCTGACACCTGTGCTGTTCTTCTTTCATCTGTGTGCTATAAAAATCCTGCTCACTGCCCTAGTTCCTTTAGAGTCACTGCATTCAGAGACTTAAACCTTCCCTAGGTCTGCTGTGACAACTCAGAACGGGCTTTCCCACCTCAGTGGCATTAGAAACGTGGACGTCTCCAGGCCAGCCCCAAAGCCCTTTTAACCAAATACCCAGTTGAACTCGAGTCCATTAGCTGTGGTCCGAGTTCTGGAATCCCAGGCAAGGGACGGCACGGCTGTGGCGGTGGAGGAGGGGGAGGGGGAGGAGGGGATAACAAGCATAACAAGCATCTCCCCTCTGCTTGTCAGGTGTGAGGCCAGGCAGCAAGGGCGCCATCCCCCAGGCTTCCTCCCCTCCCCCAAACTGCTGTACAGTCCGAAATCACCTTTCCTTGGCCCACAATAAAACCTTCCATTTCCTGCAGTCACAGAAGCAGACAGACAATTTAGAAACAATGTGGACTTACTGTCAACTGCTTTGTCACAGCCAGCTGTGGTGTGAGTTTGCCTAGTAGCCGAGAAATGTATTAATATAAAAGAGAGAAGAGCAGTGATGCTCTGGAAATGACTCAAAGCCAAGATGGCAGGCAGGCAGGTACGGGAACGAGAGGGACTGTCTGTGTCAAACACCCCCCTACTGTGTCACCTTGGGCCTCAGTCTGCATACCTGTAGAGCAAGGGCGCTATCAGCACCTCCCTCCTGCAGAGTCGTCACAGGGATTAAATGAGTGCCTATCGATGTAGTGCCCTTAGCAGTGGTATTTCGCGCACTTCGAGGCACAGAGCCCCGCCTGCAGGTGGGGTCCCCGAGGGAGGGCGCAGGCTCTGGCTGCTCTCCCTCGGGCCCAGTGCAGACCTGCTCCATTTCAGGTCAGCTCAGCTCCAGCACAGAGCCAGTGCCTCTGCTCCTTTTCCTCGCCCTCACTGGTCCTATTTGCCATTTCACTTCTCAGATGGGCCCTGGAGGCCCACCTGGATTCTCCGGGGAGGGGACTGCTGAGCTTTCTTGCTCCTATTCTGCCTTGGGGGTCTGTTGTTCAGAGGAGCACGAGGCCCAGCATTTCCATGAGTGAAGTGAAGCCCTGACCCCGATTCTGCATCCCCTCGCTGACCACAAGCCTCCATCTCAGCACATGGCACTGCTGCACACCTCCCCCAACCCCTTCCTCTCTAAGGAGCCTCCAGGCCCAGGGGGCCGCCCCTCCCCGGGGTTCCTACTTCGGGGCTGACCACTGCTAACGGGATCTGCACACAGCAGCCGCCAGCATCTTCCTCAAGTGCCCCTGGAGTGGCTCATGTCAGCCTCTGCTTAGCACCCTTCAGTGGCCGGCTCTCCACTCCACGCACTATCACGTCCCAACCTCTTGGCCAGACATCAAAGTGCCATTCCCAGGTGGCCCTGCAAGCTCCTCAGGCCCAGTCTGTCCTCCAGCTAGAATGGGACTCTGCAGTCCTCCTTCCCTCCTGTGCCTGGCCTGCTCACACCCTCAACTTAGCTGTCATTTACTCTCGGGCGCTTCCCCATTCAGCTCCTGACTCCGGCTGAGACACCAGCTGAGGCCCCACCTGGGCTCTGGGTCCTTCCCTGCACCCATCTGGGGCCTGGCTCCCTGGTGGGAAGTGCCAGGCCTTCGGGGCCCCATGTGGCCCACGCTAGCCTGACCGTCTTGTCTGCCAGCAAGCATGGAGGAGGGCCGGGGCAGGAGTCAAACACTGTCGATAGAGAAAGAGGTTCAGGAAGGGTGTGGAAAGACTCCTCTGCAGCGCCAGGCAGAGTCTGCCTGAGCCCTTGTGCAAGCTGAAAGCGACATGTAACCAAAGCAAACTTCCCGAGTCCACCAGGAAGACCAGGGTGGGTACTTTACGGACTAGCTCCTCCATACCCCCAAACTGCCATGACCCTGGTTACTTGACACTCAAAGTTCTTCGCAGCTTTCCCCGGCACCTGGCACATAAAGGCCTAGGGCTCAACCGCATAGGCCCAAAGTTCTGGGGTCTTCTGTGGAGAAGTCCTGAAAAGCATGACAGTCCCCTGGCTAAGGGATTAAACATGCTCTTTTCAGTCTCCTGCTTCCTAGGGCTATATGCGTCTAAGCAGGAGCCACTGCGACCTGTCACACTGGTAGCTTCTTTGGCCTGTAACATTTATGACAACTGCTTGTTGTGCCCCTGACCAACCTTGCTGCCTTTCTGCAGATAAGGGGATGCCAGCCTAAGGGCTGTAATGTGGGACACCCCCAGCAGGTGAGGTCAACCTGGGCCACTGGATGCCCAAGGAGCCAGGAGCAACCACAGTGATTCCTGAACTCTGGGGAGAGAACTGCTGAACGTGGCCAAGGCCCCTGGTGATCGGCAGCTTGGCTCCCTTAGCTCACAGGGGAGGGACTCAGGGCCAGAGAGATGAGGTGTATAGCCAAGGTCACTTAGGGCAGTTGGTGGCACAGCCACACAGGTGAGGCCTCTTGTCCTACGGCTGTGTCACAGGCCTCTTTGGCCTTTCTCAAACAAATGCTTCCAAATGCATAAGCTGAGACAGAGAATTAAGACATAAATTTGTCGAAAGACGTTATTAAAATATTTTTGATGGGCCGGCCCAGTGGCACAGCAGTTAAGTGTGTGCACGTTCCGCTTCGGCGGCCTGGGGTTCTCCGGTTGACATCCGCGGTGCGGACATGGCACTGCTTGGCACGCCATGCTGTGGTAGGCGTCCCACATATAAAGTAGAGGAAGATGGGCACGGATGTTAGCTCAGGGCCAGTCTTCCTCAGCAAAAAGAGGAGGATTGGCACCAGTTAGCTCAGGGCTAATCTTCCTCAAAAAAACCAAAATTTTTTTGAAATTGTGTCATACGGTAACATATGTGCTTCTTCATTAATAGGTTAAATCACAGGAGCTATGGGCAGGTTGAATAAGTACAGTAACTTCAAAGTAGTTATTTTGCTTGCCAGTACGTCTCGGAATTTAGTTAATTTCAGGCTATCTACAACAAAAGCTGTATGATCTGAAATGATCTGTCATTTCCATTGGTGACAAAGTCACCAGGCTAACGCTCTGCGCTCTGCTGCCTACACAAGTAATTGCAGGAAAGGCCAAATTTCGGCTACAGGCCGGTGAAAAAAAAATGAAAGTAGAAAAATCATCTGTTGTCGCTCCAAGCTCCCGGACATTAGCGCAGGAACCGCGCACTACAGCCTGCGTCCGGCAGTGAGGATGACGGTGCAGCCCAGGCGCCTAGGCGGCCTTCTGCAAGATTTGGAACATGGGGACGACCTGGGTACCCACCTCTCAAGCTTGTTGTGGGAACTTACAGTATTGGCGCGAAAAGGCCAGCGATCACCATCCGGGTATTTTGTTTCTCTCGCTTTGCTAGGGGAAATTCAAATCTCAAAAAAGGGCGGACCCGAAGAGCAGCCGTGCGCCTGCGCGCGGGGCGGGGCGGGAAGCTCTGGGAAGCAAGTGAGGCGAGGCGAGGCGAGGCGAGGCGAGGCGGGGCGAGGCGGGGTGACGCGAGGTGACGCCGGGCCGCGGGGGACTCTACCGCGCGCGCCTGGTCGGTTCGGGCTCCGCCGGTCGGCCTGACTGCCCACCCTGCGGCCGGCGGGGCGGGAGCCAGAGGGGTCCAGCTCGCGGCGGCGCTGGGCGCGGGTCCCGGCTCACTTTGTTGGGGCGCGGGCGAAGGTGGTGGCGCCCGGGGGCGGAGCTGGCGAGCCTGGGAGCCTGGGAGCCGGGCGCGTCACCGCCCACTCTCGCCCCGCCTCCGGCTCCACCCGCAGCGGACCTCGGGCCGCCTCTCTTGCGGCCACTGAGTGTGTAGAGCGGGAAAACGTCCGCTCCCTGGCCCGAGGCGCGAACTTAATGCCTCCCGTCAACCACTCTCAGCAACCTATGCCCTGTCCCCACTGCTACTTAAAAGCAACTGCTCGGGTGTGTGTCCCCTCTGCGACCCGGGGGACAGTTCCCAAGGGGGGCGGGGCCAAGCTTGTCTGAGGCCTTCTCATCCGGGCATTCCCCAGTTGCCGCAGCCGCCATCTTTGTTTTGTGCTGAAAGTCGCTATTGACGCCCGCGGACGGCCGGGCGAGGGGAAGTGGCAAGATGGCGGCTCCCAGGGCGGAGGCGTGGAGGCACACTGGGGGGGCGCCGCGGGGCTTGGCGCGCCTGCGCCTGACCTGAACGCGGCCTGAGACCAAACCGAGCGCGCAGCGGCCCTGGACCCTCGCCGCGGAGCAGTGCGGGGGTCCTTTAAGAGGTCTCGGCCCAGAGGCAAAGCCGTGCGAGGGCGGGAGGGGGGCAATGACGTCGCCCAACTCCGCCCCCTCGCCCGACCGCCGCCGCCGCCATGTTTAGTTGTTACTTCTTCACACAAGATGGCGGCTCCCAGGGAGGAGGCATGAGCGCCCTGCCGTTACCGCTCCTCCTGCCGTACAGTTGCTACTTCGGGGCCTAACTCTGGCTCTTTGGAGCGGCTCCGGTGGGAAGGAGTCATAAGGAGCGAAGCCAGGATCGGACACTGCCTTGCGTTTGGTTTGCAGTGGAAGAACTGACCCAGGAGGAAGAGAATAGGGGGGAAGGGGGATCTAGTCTCAAGATGGCGGCTCCCAGGGCGGCAGGCGCAGCCTGAGCAGCAGAGGCGGACTAAGGGGAGAGGTTCGAGACCTCACGAGCTGTACGGCGCGAGCCTCCGAGCAGCCCCGGAGAATTGGAGCTCGTTCCACTGGCCTCCGGCGCGCCTCTATTTCTTACGAGTGTCGAAGCTGTCTTGGGACCGGCGGCTGCACTAAGCGCTGGGCGGGGAAGCGGGACGGTCTCAAGATGGCGGCTCCCACAATTGTGGTCTGAGCGCCGGCAGGGCTGGGACAACCGCGGCGCTTGTGGCTCCTTTCCACCCGCCCCGGAAGCCGGCCAGTGCAGGGGACTTGGGGGGTGTGGGAACCGGGCCGGGGCTCCGCCATTTCCGGCGGGGTAGGGCTACGACTGAGGAAGGGAGGAGAGAGAGGCGGCTCAAGATGGCGGCTCCCAGGGCCTCCCGCCCGAGCTTGTAAGCGGGAGCGTCCGGGCAAGTAGTCAGGACGGCGGGACTCGACGGCCTCTAGCTTCTCGGGCCTAGGCGCTCGACGGCTTCGCGAGGCTCTTGAGGACACGGGGTGAGCGAAAAAAAGGGAAAGAGCCAAAGGGAAGGAGGATAGTTAAGATGGCGGCCTCCATGGAGCCGTCCACCGCTGTGTGAGGAACCGCTTCTCCGTGAGAGCTGCCTTAGACGAAAGGGGGTGTGTGCGAGAGGAATTGGGGGTCCCCTTCCCGCTTGGTGACTTTTTTCTACCGCGCCCTTTCCCGGAACCATGGCTTCGGCCGTGTCGCCCGCCAACTCGCCAGCGGTGCTCCTGCAGCCTCGCTGGAAGCGAGTGGTGGGCTGGTCGGGTCCAGTGCCCCGGCCCCGCCACGGCCACCGCGCCGTGGCTATCAAGGAGCTCATCGTGGTGTTCGGCGGCGGCAACGAGGGGATAGTGGACGAACTGCACGTGTACAACACGGGTGAGTGCAAAGCCCGCTGGGTCCTCGGATCTTTCCCTCCCTCCATCTCCTCCCTCTCCCTCCTTTTTTTCCCTCCCTCCCCTTCTCTCCTCCCTCTCCGCCCTCGTCCCGCTCCTTCCTCCCTCCCTCCCTCCCGCTCTCTCCCTGTTCTCCATGCCTCTCTCTTCCTCGGCACCGATCTGCTTTCTTCTCCCCTCCACGACCCTTTGCTCTGCCCGGCTTCTTTGCTTTTCCCTTCTCTTTCTCCCGTTCTTAGCCTCCCTGACTCTCCTGCGTTTGAGGGATGCTTTTCATTATTGGAGTCGAACCCTGTAGCCCGGCTCGTGAGGGGGCGGGGGTGTCGCCAGCAGTGGTGACTTCAGACATACACCGTTAGCCCGCCGGGCGGGCGGATGCGTCCCTTTGGCGCAGGCAGAGTCCCACCCCCTCCCTCCTCCCTCCTCCCTCCTCCCACCTCCCTCCTCCCACCTCCCTCCTCCCACCTCCCTCCTCCCTCCTCCCTCCTCTCTGCGCCTGCTGCGCTCTTCCTCATCTTTAGTGCTCATTCGGGAGAAATGACAACTTCGAAATTACAGATTAGTTGTCTATCCCGAGAAAAGGGGGAGAGTTGAGCAACCTGGTCCTGACCTCTGGCGAGTTGTGTGCCTCGGTGGGTAACCGTCTCCCAGCGTGTGCAGGAGGCTTGGGGACCCAAGGCGTTGCTGCCTCCCCCTTTCGGCATTTACTTCTGCAGTGTCTCTCTTCAAATTGGCGGTCTGATGTAGGAGGTGAATTCCAGTGGCCCCGCAGCGGGCCAGATGGGCCCTGACTCTTCTCTTCTGTGAGGCTGAGGAGGTTGCCCTGGCCATTTTCATGCCTCCCCCAACTGCAAGGCCTCATTGATTGCGAGGAGCGGGACTCGATGGTAGACTGCAGGCGGTGGTGTGCCTCTGTCTCGGGAGATGGTGTGCGTGCTGGCTTGTCTTCTGCTTCTTGGCTGGTGTCCTTGCTAGGTCTCTAGGGCTTGGCCACATCCTCCTGCAGCTCCTCCCTCATGGTGGCCACTTGGCCTGAGTTGCACAACTATCACCTTGTTGGCCGGAGCTGCCTGTTGAATGGATGCTGGCCCATTGCCCCTCGCCTTGCTGGGAAGGCGGGCCTAGGTGTATGTGGGCCTGTGTACCTTCTGTTCTGGCTGAGAGCCTGAGAGACTAAGGCGTGGCCCGCGAAAGCCTGCCCCCGCCCCCTCAGTGGTCTTGTAGGAGGCTACCCTCCCCAGCGGGGAGATGCCCCCATTTGGGTTGGTGGTGGTCAGGGGCCCTCTTCCCCACTTGCCATCACATCTGGCAAGCTCCTTTTGCTCCAGGTCCATCCTCTCCCAGGGTTCTGGCAGTAGCGACTCCTTCAGTATGGGTACTGTCTCCCAGCTTTGAGGTTGCCCTGGAGCTGGGAGCTGGCAACCGAGGGAGAAGTTGGTTGGGGTGGCCAGGGTTGGAGCTGGGCTCTTGGTTGGGTGCTTCCCATCTCTGCCCCCCCACCCCCACCCCCACCCAGAGAGTACAGTTTTCTCTGCACCTTATAGGTTGTCGCACTACCAAGTTGACTTTCGAAGCCTGGCAGGTTGCTGGTGACCCTTTGCCTTCCGAGTCTCAGCACCTGTTGCCTCCAGCGAGGCCGGGCTGGTTTTGGTGGTGCTCTGTGCCAGCTCAGACAGCTGTGGTGGCAGCAGTTAGCCCAGTAAGGTAAGGCCGAGGGGCAAGGCTGTTTTTAGAGAGGCTGTTACCCTGAGCAGAACCTCCTAGACTCCTTGGACCAACTTTGTTCTCATAAGGCCTGGAGCAGGTTCCTTGGCAGGGAAACACGACTTTTAGAAAGTAGGGCAGGGGCCTAATTACCATCAGCTCCAAAGTCCGCTCCTTCCTGGGGCTTCTACAGCATATTCGCTGGTTGATTAAAATGAACTGACCACTTTGGCCTTGATACGTTCCCTGTCTGCAAGGACGTGTTTTGTAGTAGAGAGTAGCCCGCCTTCCAGAAGGCTGCAGTCTGGCTTCCTCCAGGGTGGCAGTTCGGAAACTGCCCTGTTCACCTCCTTTGTGACTTCTCAGGAGAGGGGCTAGCAGGCTCTACTCCCTGCTCCTCACCCAGCATTGACACGTTATTTGACAGAGCAGGAATTTGTCCAGTATCTGGTGTCCTCTCGCCTCGCCGTGCTGTGAGATTCTGTTGTTCGTGGGAGAGACAGGGCTTAGTGTCGCCCCTCTTCCACCAGTGGTGGCATGGATCCTGTCATCTTTGGCTGCCTCCCGCTTAGCTTTGTTTTGTCTTAAGTGAGGTCGGAGCATATTGTCTTTATGCCTCTTCTCTCGTACTTTTCCTTCTGCAGGATTAGTGCTCAGAGAGGCTCGCCCTTTGGGGAGAGAGCTGATTTGGAAGCATTGTCTGTTGCTAAGATAAAAGGCTTTAAGGGGCGCGTGCATGCTTCACTGTCTTGGTTAGCTCAACGATCTGGGGGTGACCTGGGGGTGACGGGGCTGGGAGGTGGCAGGTGTGCACTCGAAGGGCGGGGTGTGTCCTTCCTTTTTGGCAGCAGTCACCACAGTGGCTGCAGGACACTTGGCTGGCCTTTGGGAGGTTTTAGGGTAGCTACTGTCCTTGACCTCAGGGAATTTTATTTCAACATAGCAAAGCGGATTACCCAGAGGACTGGAGCAAAAGGATTCCGAGTGCTGGCAGGGGGTGTGCCCTGGCAAGGAGAGGGCGTGACTGGTCCCCCAACCAGTTGCCCAAGGCTGGTCTGCCTCACCGGTTCTTTAATGTCCCTCAACTGTTACAGCTGGGAGGAGCCTTGGAAAATATCTAGTGAAACTTCCTTGTTTTTGCACATGAGGAAACTGGGGCCTGAGAGGGGAAGTGACGAGCCCAGGGTCACCCTACCACTTGGTGGCGGAGTTGGGCGGGAGTACAGACCTTCACAGAGACTGTCGGGCTGTCTCTTCCTTCAGTTAACAGGTGCAGGCCACTACCTTGGAAACTCCCCCAGTTCCTCCGTCCCTGTAGCTAATTGGTCAGTAAGTTGAGCCTGTCTCCAGTCTGTTCACCCTCCATTCGGGGCCCTCCCCTCTTCTCACTCAGCTCTTGCGCTCACTTCCTGATTGGCCCTGCTAGTTTCATTTGTTAGGAAATCCTGTTCACCCCTCAAGACCTAGCCCCAGTGTCGCCTCTTCTGAGAAGCCCCCTCCCCGTAATCGCCCCTGCTCTGTGCTCCTCGGGCTCGCGCTTGGTGCAGAGTTCTTGCCGGCGTGGGAGGAGGGCACTGCAGTCTCCCTACAAGATAGGGACTTCGAGGACTGGCGCTGGCTCCTCTCTGCCTCCCAGCCCCTGGCACCGCATCTGCCACACAGGCGGTGCCCCAGCAGGACAGAGCAAGCAAAACAGCAGCTGGTGGTGTCTGACCGGCCCTCCACCATGTGGGTATAGGTCTCCAGGTGGTGACATGTAGAGTTTGATGGGATGGCAGCAACCACCTGTCCTGCCCCTTCCCAGGCCCCTCAGGAGGACACGTTGGCAAAGCGTGGAAAGGCACGAGGGGAGCTGATAAAACACGGAAGCTGGGGCTTTGGTCTTGCTGAGGAGGGAGAAGGTGGAGTCGTGCTTCTGGTCATCCCATGAAGGGTCCCGTGTGCCGTCAGCTTCCTTTCCTCAAACCCTCCTCCCAGCTGAGAGCAGAGACAAGCGAGAGCATACCTAGAATGAGGGACCCAGAGGTTGAGTTACAGGACACCCTGCTGGGTGAACTAGAGATCATGGGATTAAGGGACAGTTGAAAGCAGTCGTTGTATTTAAGAGATGGTCGCTTGTGCCCTCTCAGGGGCAGGACTGGGACCGCGTGTGAAACAAAGAGAGGCAAGCTGCGGCTTCATACTATAAACTGTACTGCCCGACAGACTGCTCTTGACAGGGTGCAGAGAGCAGAGCCCCTGCCTTGCCTGGAGTGTTCTAGAACGAGATCAGCCTCTCTTGGGTACCATAGAATGAGTTGGTGATCATGAGCTCTGGGGACATCACAGGTCATTTCCAGCCTGGCCAGCTGGCTCAGTGATCAAAGTGTGATGGGGGAAGCTGTGGGGTGACCTCACTGGCTATGCAGCTTTGTCCCAGTGCTGACCGATGGTCCCTAGTGGCCCCATAACCATGTGTGGCAGCCATGAGGATGCTCAGGTGAGCGAGGGCAGCAATGGCTTCCCTGTACGTGGGGCCCTTAGGTGGGCATCTAGCGATCACTTTAAGTTGGTGACGAGATTCTTGTCTCTCTGTCTGTTTTGCTCTGTGACCTCAGGTAAGTTGCTTCCCCTCCTGGACTCCACTTCTTTATCAGTTGAGGGAGGTTGGCTGAGGTGATTAGAGGTTTCTTTCAGCTTTTACCCTGGTAACCTTGGATGAACCTTCTTCCAGGGCTCCCAGGAGGCTTTCTCTCCCCATTTTGCAGGGGTGACTTGCCTCGGCATGGAAAGCTCCTGCTTCTCTTGGTTTGTGTTTGCACTAGGGATGAGAAGGAGGTGGAGGGCTGGCATGTGGGTGCGCTCGTGCATGCGTGCGTGTGGCCGGCAGCACAGCTTTGCACCTCTAGTAGGAAAATGGCAGAGGAGAGGAGAGGTGAGTCAATGCCAGGCCTCCTGAAGGCCCAGTGACTCCACTAAACTGTGGAGTTCCAAACTACCCTGTGGAAGTGGGGAGCAGGAAGTGAGGGTGCACTGTTACCCTGGGAAAGGCCTTAAGGAGATACTGATGTGCTTTTAGATGAGGGCAGGCCTTTTGGCTACGGTGCGTGGTGGGCCTCGGGGGTGACAACCTAGGACTTGGGTCACCCACCATGAGGATCGGAAGGGCGGCTGAGTATCAACAACCAAGTGTGTGCTTGTGCAGAAAGGCCGAGAAGCAGTGAGTAGCTGGGGCCTCCTAAGGCCCTCCCCATGGGAATATCCTGAGTCCTAGTCAGACCCCAGGGTGTGCTCTTTTCACACCCAGGTCCCTTCCCCACCTGCCGGCTCCTCAGTCCCAACCTACTTGGTCACATTTGACCAAAAACTGATTTAGGGGCATGGAATCAGATTTGTATCTGGCCTCCAGTTTGAGGTTTTTGGAGGGAATGTGGCATATCCTTTAGGAAGCAGCCCTTTAAATAGTGCGTAGTGCAAGAGACGCCTCAAAACAGGAGGATGGTTGCCCCATGGCTTTCCTGGAAGTCTTGGCATGGCAACTTTGAGGGGAGTTGAACTCAAGGATGTGGGAGCCTGAAACGAGGGTGAGCCGTGGATCTAGCTGAAGGCCGAAGGCCGGGCCACCAGGTCCTGCCTGGCTTCTGATTTACCCTTTTCCTCGGTGGCCTCCCCACCCCACCCCCAGCTACAGGTGATGGACTTTGGGGAAGCTTCTGTGGCTGGCGGAGGCTGTGATGCTGCCACAGAAGCTCATGCTACTGCTGCCACTTCTGGCTCTTGAGAATTTTCTGGAGCAGTGTGGGCGTGGCATAGGGGGAGAGGCGATGTGGACCATCACCTAGGAGATGCAAGCAGAGATTGAGTCTCACCCGGGTGGCTCTCTCAGCCAGCAGGCCGGGCTGCCTCGGCTGGCCTCCCCCGCCTGCTCACTGCCTGCTGCTAGCACCTGCAGGAGGGAGGGCCCCTGCCCGTGCCGGTTGCTCTTTTGGCCACTTAAAGGTGTAGCCGTGGGCCCACGAGAGGAGGAGCACAGGATCACCAAGAGGATGTTTTGGGTGTTGGAAGTTTCTTTCCAATGACCCACCAAGTAGTAGTGGAAGAAAGTTGGTAGCCACATTCCCAGAAGCTGATGAGTTGTCTTGGTCAGTGAATTCCTGCTTATGACAGTCTTGACAAGAAGCAGGGTGATCACAGGTTGCTTTGAGGTGGCCTCTGAGGTCGAGGGGTTTGGAAGATGGCTTAGGTAGAGGGCTGGCACTTGAACACCGAAAGGAGAGAGTCCCGCAGCCTTGGGAAAAGAGGCGCTGTCTCAACCCCTCCTTTCTCGGACCACATTTTGAAGGCTGGTGGATTTGGGGAGTGGGAGAAGTGTGGGCTCTGGTTCTGGGAGCTCCTGAGGTGTTCTGACTTCTATTTCCTTTTGTTCTCCAGCAACTAACCAGTGGTTCATCCCGGCCGTGAGAGGGGACATCCCTCCTGGGTGTGCAGCCTATGGCTTTGTGTGCGACGGGACTCGCCTCCTGGTGTTTGGTGGGATGGTGGAGTATGGGAAATACAGCAATGACCTCTATGAGCTCCAGGTAATGGCCCCGCTGTGCTGCTTATGGTAGTTGCTGGGGAGCCAGGGGCCGGGTTGAGGCAGGAGAGAGGAGGTGGAGGGGGCTGCTTAAGAGATTGCCTAGGCCATCCTGAATGTGCCAGCCTCACCCTGACCAGCTCCTCACTACATGACAAATGGCCCAGGCCCCCATGGCGGCCAGCTCATCCCCGATTCAATCGTCATGTCTTCCTTTTGCAGGCAAGCAGGTGGGAGTGGAAGAGACTCAAAGCAAAGACACCCAAAAACGGGCCCCCTCCATGTCCTCGGCTTGGGCACAGCTTCTCCCTTGTGGGTAACAAATGCTACCTGTTTGGGGGTCTGGCCAACGATAGCGAGGATCCCAAGAACAACATTCCCAGGTGAGACTTTGTTCTCTTCATGTGGAATCCCACAAGCATAGCTGTGCTTGCCCACGTGCCAGCCAACCCCACCGTGCCAAGTCCCTTTCCTTTGTGAACCGAGAGGGTGGCAGTAGGTGCCCTCTAAGGAGCTTTCCGGCTCTGAGGTCTCTAATCCTGAGGTGGCCTCGTGGGAGGAGGGCTGGGCCAGGAAGTAGAAACCCACTTTGCCGTGGGCTGATGCCTACTCCTCAGAGCACGGGTAGAGCTGGTGCTTTCCTTCTCAGCCTCCGCTGCCTGCAGGCTTAAGGATGGGTGTTTTCCAAGGCCAGCGGCCCATGGCCTTTCTGAAATCTGGAGGTAGTCCTGAACCAGCACCTCCTCTTCCCCTGGGAGGCCCTCATTTAATACCCAGTTTTGTGTGCAAGACAGCCCAGCCCCATTCCCCTGCTGCTCTTGGACTCCCATTCATCCTCAGGAGCTTCTGGCAGCTCCTTCTTGCAGGCGAGGGTAGAATAACTTGGAGTTCATGTGGCCTTAGCCCCCTTTGTCTCCCAGGGACCCCACGGTTTGCCCATAGATGCTGATGAGGCCTCTGGCGCATGCAGTGGTTGCGGCTTGCCATATCTGACCTTTTATCTCGAGGTACCTGAATGACTTATACATCCTGGAATTGCGGCCAGGCTCTGGAGTGGTAGCCTGGGACATCCCCATCACTTACGGTGTCCTGCCCCCACCCCGGGAGTCACATACTGCCGTGGTCTACACTGAGAAAGACAACAAGAAGTCCAAGCTGGTGATCTACGGGGGAATGAGTGGCTGCAGGCTGGGGGACCTCTGGACCCTGGATATTGGTAAGATGTGGGCGTGGCTGCTCCACTGGCCTCACAGCAAAGCTAGTCTGCTGGGCGACCAGCGTGGGACGGTGAGGTGGGGCTCTTGGGAAGAGGGAGCATCGTGCTTAGCTCCTTTGTGTTGTCATGGTGGAGTAGGGGCAGGACCCTGTGATCAGTGATCAGACTGTACCAGGAGTAGTGTACCCTGGTCTGTCACGGTCAGATGGGATCAAGAGGCCGTAAGATCTCTAGGGGCTACTTGGGCTGATAACTAGGTGGAGTGTCAAGAGTAGTTGACGGAAGTTCGGGTGTTTGACTTGAAGAAGGCTGAGGGGAGAAGATGGCTGATGACATGTCTCTGGAGGGTTAGCCTGTTCTGTAGATCAGTGTCAGCACTCAAAAGAAAAGTTTATCAGGGGCCGGCCTGGTGGTGTAGTGGTTAAGTTTGCATGCTCTGCTTCGGCGGCCTGGGGTTCACAGATTCAGATCCCGGGCGTGGACCTAGCACTGCTGGTCAGAACACACTGTGGCGGCATCCCACATAAAATAGAGGAAGATTGGCACAGATGTTGGCTCAGTGACAGTATTCCTCAGGAGAAAAAGAGGAAGATTGGCCAGAGATGTCAGCTCAGGGACAATCTTCCTCACCAAAAAAGAAAAGAAAAGTTTATCATGAGTGGAGTTCCCAGCAGCACGGTGCTTCTGGACACAGTCTGTACACGGTGGAGGTGGTGTGGGGATGAACACATTTTGTGGAGAGTAGGACACAAAGCAGCGTGCCTTGAGGATTTGCTCACCACCCCTACCCCCATTCTAAGAGCAGTGCTAGCTCCTAGCAGGTGCTCAAAAATATTCAAAGAGGGGCTGGCCCCGTGGCCGAGTGGTTAAGTTCGCATGCTCCGCTACAGTGGCCCAGGGTTTCACTGGTTTGGATCCTGGGCGCGGACATGGCTCCACTCATCAGGCCACGCTGAGGTGGCTTCCCACGTGCCACAACTAGAAGGACCCACAACTAGGGTATAGAGCTATGTACGGGGGGGATTTGGGGAGAAAAAGCAGAAAGGAAAAAAAAAAAGATTGGCAACGGTTGTTAGCTCAGGTGCCGATCTTTAAAAAAAAAAGAAAAGAAAAGTGTTCAAAGAGATGCCCTTGGCAGGAGGGTGAACACAGCTTGGGAGAGGCTGGAACCTGGTGATCTGAGGGCCTCCCACGGGCTGCAGAGAGGCCAGGCATGAAATTCTTGCACTGGGTTGGCACCCGCCATCCAGAGCCTTCCCCGCATCTGGGAAACATCTTCCTGATCGCAGGGCGTGTGTCTGATCCAGTGTGGGTAACCCTCCTTTCTCCATCACTCTGCACAGAGACTCTGACATGGAATAAGCCCAGTCTCAGCGGGGTGGCGCCACTTCCTCGAAGTCTCCACTCGGCCACGACCATAGGAAACAAGTGAGTAGTTGGCCATCGCTTTTCTCTTCCTTGCTTGCCCCTGTACCCACCGGACTCTCAGTTTGGTTCTAGCAATCCCTAAGGCCTGAGAAGGCTTTTTCTGGCTGGGCTGGCATTTAGCAGCCCCGTCTTTCCATTACAATCCTGGGGGACTGAGAGAGGGCAGACTCAGGATAGAGGGGCACAGAGTGTTCTAGATCCTGTACACGAGCAGCTGGGTGTTTTTGTCAATGCCAAGGTTCCCAAAGTGAGTATAAAACAGCGGGGCCTGAGGTGAGTTTTAGGTGAGTGGTTCCTCATGGTGGAGGTGACACAGTTCTTGTGAGGGCTGAGCCACCAAGTAGGAAAAGGCCTCATCAGGAGCTTCGTGCTTCCTGGGGGTCACTCCTGGGGAGAGTTAGGGGACCAAGCTTGTTTAGAACTTTCTGGATGGAAGAGGTGGCCTCTAGCTTGCACCTCCTCTACAATCCTCTCCTACTCTTCCCTCCCTCGTCCCAGAATGTACGTGTTTGGTGGCTGGGTGCCTCTCGTCATGGATGACGTCAAAGTGGCCACACACGAGAAGGAGTGGAAGTGTACCAACACACTGGCTTGTCTCAACCTGGGTATGGCCTCCTCGGGCTCGGAGTGGCCTGCGGAGGGCTGCGGGAGGCTGGCCCTCCTCGGCCCCGAGAGCTGTGTCGGGTGTGCAGGGAGCGAAGCTTCTTCTAAGGCCCATGCCTGGCAAATGTACCAGAAGTAGCCACTGGTCAGAGCGCTCTGAGGGACGCTCCTCCTTTCCATTTTCTGAATAGGCTCTTCCCACATGTGGTCCAACACGTGACCGGACACAAGCACGCCAGCATGCCGGCGCAGGGCCTCCCTCCTGCCCCGCTCTGCTCCTCAGGCAGCCACTTCGGTGGCTCCTCCTCCGCCCTGCAGGGGCTTTTCTATGTAGACAAGCCTTGCCTATAGGTTCCTTTAAAAACAAACAAACAAGCCGGCAGCCCGCTCTCCATGGCGGTGCGGCACCTGGCCTATTCCGTTTACTCTGTCTTGGAGACCATCCACTCCTGCACGGCGAGCAGCCTCATTCTTTTGAATTGCTTTCGTGGTGTCGAAACTTGCACAGACCCTGCTCCGTGAGTATCCCTGCATTGTTCTCACCCACGTGCAAGTGTGTTTGAAAGGTAAAAACCTAGAGGTAGAATTGCCATCAAAAGGATGTTGCCGAGCTGCCCTGCACGGAGGCTGCACCCACATAGACGCCCCTGGCGGTGCCGGCACCGGCCGAGCATTCGCTCCTCACCAAGCCTATTGGTGATTTGAGTCTCCCCGTGGGCCAGCCCCTGCCCCCGGCTCGCCTTGAGCCTGGTTGCAGTGGGCATAGAAACCAAACTGCCAGGCCCCTCCCGGGTTCAGTTTGCATTTCTCTTGTTTTGAGCAAGGGTGTGTATTTTCTCTCTGATCCTTGTCGCCTTTCCGTAACTTGCGTTCCTCTTTGCCCGTCTCTCTATAGGCTCTTGTGTTGTTTGATGTGCAACAAGTGAAGCCTTTGGCTGTGCGTTTCAAGGAATTTTCCCAGTTTCTACTTCGTGGATTATAGTTTTAGTTTGTATGGTTTTTTTGCCATACAGAGTTGTTGTTTTTCGCCTTGTCTTTTTTTAATTTAGTAATCCTTGATGACTTCCTGGTTTTAATTCCCCATCCCTGACAGCAAAAGGCCAAAGGGCTACTGGGAGTTGTGGGTTTCTCTGCCTCCCTGCTGACCTCTACCTCCTGCCCTCCCCAGATACCATGGCCTGGGAGACCATCCTGATGGACACACTGGAGGACAATATTCCCCGGGCCCGAGCTGGCCACTGCGCTGTAGCAATCAACACCCGCCTGTACATTTGGAGTGGGCGCGATGGCTACCGAAAGGCCTGGAACAACCAGGTCTGCTGCAAGGACCTCTGGTACCTGGAAACAGGTAAGGCCACCACAGTGCAGCCCTGCCCACCCCTGAAGCTGCCACCTCCCCCCTTCTCACTAACTTGTGCTCTCTTACAGAAAAGCCACCACCCCCGGCCCGGGTACAGCTGGTGCGAGCCAACACCAACTCCCTGGAGGTGAGCTGGGGGGCAGTGGCAACAGCCGACAGTTACCTTCTGCAGCTCCAGAAATATGACATTCCTGCCACGGCTGCTACTGCCACCTCCCCCACACCCAATCCAGTCCCGTCTGTGCCTACCAACCCTCCCAAGAGCCCTGCCCCGGCAGCAGCCGCACCTGCCGTGCAGCCGCTGACCCAAGTAGGCATCACGCTCCTGCCCCAGGCTGCCGCCGCGCCCCCGACCACCACCACCATCCAGGTCTTGCCGACAGTGCCTGGCAGCTCGATTTCCGTGCCCACCGCAGCCAGGACTCAAGGTGAGCTGGGGGCCGGGCACTTGAGCGCAGGGGCTGGCCCGCCGGGAGCTTGCGTGTCTGAGTGAGGGCCTCTGAAAGACAGCACCCCTGGCAGCTGGGAGCAAAGGCTTATTCCTGGGGGTGGGGAGGGCCTCAGTCCCTCCCTTGAAGACTGTCACTGAGAGTATCTGGAAGGGCCAGACACGAAGCACAGGCAGGTCACAGAAGCAGCTCACATCTGCACGCTGAATGCAACAGAGGGGCTGGGGCTCTGCTGATGGTTGCCCTCTTCTCCCGCCAGGTGTCCCTGCTGTTCTCAAAGTGACTGGTCCTCAGGCTACCACAGGAACCCCATTAGTCACCATGCGACCTGCGAGCCAGGCTGGGAAAGCGCCCGTCACCGTGACCTCCCTACCTGCAGGCGTGCGAATGGTCGTGCCGACGCAGAGCGCCCAGGGGACGGTGAGGAGCTGTCCCTGGACTGGGCTGGGTGGGGCAGGACTTTCTCGTGGTTGATGGTGCCCTGACCAGGTTTGAATGTCACCCAGCTCTAGCACCATTCATCCTGGGCTTTTCTCAGCTGTAAATTACTAATAAGGCGATCTCTCGTTACTAAGTTAATGAGTTCATAAATTAACACTTCCAGAGGACCTCCCTGCTCTCTGATCCCAAGAGCATTTCAAACATCAACTTTCTAGTCCTGAAGCCTGAGGAGAGAATCTAGCCAGCTGGGGTTTGACTCAGGCCCATGAGGAGAGAGCTGCATCTGACTCCACGGTCTTTAGAAAAGACTCACGGCTGCTGGCAGACTCCTGCTGCTGGGTTGGCGCGCCTGATTGGGTGGTAGGAGTCCAGGTTGGAGCCAGTAGAGCAGGGCCTGGCAGTCCGAAAAGCTGAGAGATGCTGCTGTGAGGCACGCTGGACGGGAAGGAGGCTCTCAGAGCAAGGCTGAGCCTCTTGGCCGATTCTGGTGGAGTCCACAGAACAGGGAGCTGGGCGGCCTTCGTCCCAACGCTGCCCGCGGGCTCACATTCCCTGTGCCCACTGCAGGTGATCGGCAGCAGCCCGCAGATGAGTGGGATGGCTGCACTGGCGGCCGCAGCCGCCGCCACCCAAAAGATCCCTCCTTCTTCGGCGCCCACAGTGCTGAGTGTCCCAGCGGGCACCACCATCGTCAAAACTGTGGCTGTGACACCTGGCACTACCACTCTCCCAGCCACTGTGAAGGTGGCCTCCTCACCAGTCATGGTGAGCATCCCTTGGGCCTGGTTCTGAGCTGGCAGCCTTGGGGCTTCTGGGCACTGTGGTCAGACAGCGGTCACTCCTTCTGGGTTTTGAACCACCCCACAAAGGCCATCAGTCCATAATTGGTGCTTGCTGTGGGCTGTGGAATAAACTGTCACCGTTAGGGGTGTGCCAGACTCAGGCTAGACCTGTCGCTAGGTCCCTTCCCTTGCTTTGCTAGGAAAAAGTAAATCAAAGTGAGCTGTTCTTCAGTCTAGGAGGGGGAGGGGAGAGGAGGAGGAGAAAGGTAACTAGCCAGGCTAGAGCTGTGGGTCCACTGGGACATTCCCAGTGGAGGCACTCAGCCCTGCCCATCACTCGTTTCTGTCCCCTCCAGGTGAGCAACCCAGCCACTCGCATGCTGAAGACCGCAGCTGCCCAGGTGGGGACATCTGTCTCCTCCGCTGCCAACACGTCTACCCGCCCCATCATCACGGTGCACAAGTCGGGGACTGTGACAGTGGCCCAGCAAGCCCAGGTGGTGACCACGGTGGTGGGTGGGGTCACCAAGACCATCACCCTGGTGAAGAGCCCCATCTCCGTCCCAGGAGGCAGTGCTCTGGTGAGGGACGGGTGCCACCCTGCTGCATGTGACAGCTGCCAGGCTGTGGCACTGCCCTGGGCCCGTGCCAGGAGTGCCCTAGCCCAGGCCGTGCCCTTGATTGGTTTCTGGATCACTCCCTGCTGTGTTCTTTCCTTTTTAGATTTCCAACCTGGGCAAAGTGATGTCAGTGGTCCAGACTAAACCAGTGCAGACTTCGGCAGTCACAGGCCAGGCGTCTACGGGCCCGGTGACTCAGATCATCCAGGTGAGCTTGGGGGCCCCAGACTCTGTGACACAAGCAAGAGTGGGCGCTGGGCCACAGGTGGAACTTGCATCCCTGCCTAGAAAAGATCCCATGATCACATGTGGCACAGAAAGTCCTGCTGCTCGGGTTTGTCACCCGCAGTCTTCAGAATATTCCCTGAGATGCTTGAGCTACCGGTGGCGAGTAGCTGGACCAGATTTCCCGTCCTGGCAAAGATGCTGGTTTACCTCACCCTCCTTCACCTCGTCATTTCCCCTTGTAGACCAAAGGGCCCCTGCCAGCCGGGACCATTCTCAAGCTGGTGACCTCAGCAGATGGCAAGCCCACTACCATCATCACTACCACGCAGGCCAGTGGGGCCGGTACTAAACCCACCATCCTGGGCATCAGCAGTGTGTCCCCCAGCACTACGAAGCCTGGCACAACGACCATCATCAAGACTATCCCCATGTCGGCCATCATCACGCAGGCGGGCGCCACAGGTAGGGACCTCCCCCACTGCGCCAGTGAGGAAGTGTGTTGGGCTAAAGCCAGATAGGTGGATGGAGGCCGGGCTACAATGTGCTCTTGCTTTCTGTTCTCTTTCTCCCTCCTCCCTACTCACTCTGGCTTTTATCGAAGATTTGTCGGCAGGTGGCAGGGGTGAGGCTGTGATTGTACTTGTTGCATTTTAATCAAGGGGCAGCAGGGGTGACTACTTAAAAGGGGGCCTAAGGGAAACGAGCCATGGGAGCTAGCGCAGAGTGGAGCTCCGGAGGCAGCAGGCCTGAAGCCAGCTGCCCCCTGTCTCCCATCCAGGTGTGACCAGCAGCCCTGGCATCAAGTCCCCCATCACCATCATCACCACCAAGGTTATGACTTCAGGGACTGGAGCGCCTGCCAAAATCATCACTGCTGTCCCCAAAATTGCAACTGGCCATGGGCAGCAAGGAGTGACCCAGGTGAGGCAGATCTGGCCCTCTCCTCACCCCAGTGTCCAGTCCAGGACCCCAGCAGGCCACACGTGTCCTCCTGAGGGGCCTGGGATGGGGCAGGACAGGATCCGGCCAGCCTGTGAGTGACAGGGGCACTTTCCTCTGGTGTTCTAGGTGGTGCTAAAGGGGGCCCCTGGACAGCCAGGTACCATCCTCCGCACTGTGCCCATGGGGGGCGTTCGTCTGGTCACCCCCGTCACTGTCTCCGCCGTCAAACCGGCTGTTACCACATTGGTTGTGAAGGGTACCACAGGTGTGTAGCCCACAGGCTGGGTGCCAGTCTGCATAGTGTTCCCAGGACCACCTCCCTGTAGGAGGGCTGGGGGAGGATGCAGGTACTCTCTCTCTGGAGCTTGCTGGTCCTGTTGGGTGCACTTCAGAGTTCCCATTGCCCCCAGCCCCACCCAGGGAGAAAAGCTCCTGGAAAGGAGGCACCAACAACAGGCTTCACCCATCTCTGCCTCCCTCCCTGCTTTTAGGTGTCACAACGTTAGGCACGGTGACAGGCACCGTTTCCACCAGCCTTGCTGGAGCTGGGGGCCACAGCACCAGCGCCTCCCTGGCCACACCTATCACCACCTTGGGCACTATCGCCACCCTCTCAAGCCAGGTGATCAACCCCACTGCCATCACTGTGTCAGCCGCGCAGACCACGCTGACGGCGGCCAGCGGGCTCACCACCCCCACCATCACCATGCAGGTAGGGTGGCCGGGAGACCGTGAGGGTGTGTGGTTGCATGTCAGGGACACTACAGAAAGCATGTGAGCCCCAACCTGACTGTTCTAGTCTCCGTCTTGGGACCATCCTTGCCAGGCTTCCTGCTGCTGCTGCAGGCAGCCAGCTCCTCTTCTTCCTTCATGCGTGTAGAACCCGTGGGACAGTGTCCCTGTTTGTTACAGAATCATGATTCTTTATCACTGCCTAATAGTCCGTCACTTGGAGACATCACGTTTTTCCCATTTCCAGTTTCTGAATACTAGGGTCTTTCTCTCATGGTGTTATAGTGGGTGTGAGAATTCACCTTCATGTGCATATAGCATTTTTCTTCTCTTCATGCATCTTAAGCTGAATTCCTGGAAATGGTGATGCATCTCTTGCTGGCCTCTGTTCAGGCAGGGCCCGTGACCAAGGGTGCGCCCCAGCCAGGCCCCGCCCCTGCCCCACCCCCACAGCCCCTTCCCAGTCCCTGGGGCCCTTGAGGCCAAGCAGTACCTCTTCCCTGGTCTCTGAGTGAGGCACTGTCTTGCGGTCAGAGGGCAAGCAGGTCCTGGCTTTGCCAGGGCTATTGCTTTAGGAGCCAGGTCGGTAATATCAGCCAGGGTGGGTGACACTGCAGGATGGTGGGAGGGACAGGCAGGCAGAAGTTGCATGCTAACTCTTCCCGTCTGGTATCTCCCCCAGCCTGTCTCCCAGCCTACCCAGGTGACTCTGATCACAGCACCCAGTGGGGTTGAGGCCCAGCCTGTGCATGACCTCCCTGTGTCCATCCTGGCCTCGCCTACTACAGAACAGCCCACGGCTACAGTTACCATTGCTGACTCAGGCCAGGGTGATGTGCAGCCTGGCACCGTGACGCTGGTGTGCTCCAACCCGCCGTGCGAGACCCATGAGACGGGCACTACCAACACAGCCACCACCACTGTTGTGGCTAACCTCGGGGGGCACTCCCAGCCCGCCCAGGTGCAGTTTGTCTGTGACAGACAAGAGGCAGCTGCTTCTCTCGTGACCTCACCAGTGGGGCAGCAGAATGGCAGCGTGGTTCGCGTCTGCTCGAACCCGCCGTGCGAGACCCATGAGACAGGCACCACCAGCACCGCCACCACCGCCACCTCCAACATGGCGGGGCAGCACGGCTGCTCGAACCCGCCTTGCGAGACCCACGAGACAGGCACCACCAGCACCGCCACCACCGCCATGTCAACCATCGGCACCGTCCAGCAGCGAGATGCCCGGCACGCCTATGTGGCCAGCACTGCTCCTGCTGTGGTCCGGGTCAGCCTGGCTGCTGGGGCGTCACAGGGAGCCCAGGGTTCTGTCAAGCCCTCGTGCCAAACCTGCCAGACCAGCGCAACCAGCACCACCATGACTGTGATGGCCACCAGTGCCCCGCTCCTTGGGCCAAGCCTGGTGCTGGAGGCTGGCGGCCACAGCACCACTTTTGTGCAGTTGGCCCCTGTGAGCAGCCAAGTCAGGCCCAGCGGCCTTGGCGGCAAGGACAGCCCCATAGCTGGCCTAGGTCAGCTGGTGTCTGCAGGGCACCAGCTGGAGGCACATCACACCCACACAACCAACACACCCACCACAGCCCGCTCCACCATGGGTGCCGCAGAGCTCGGTGAGGCACAGGGAACCCTCATACCTGCGTACGAGAGCTCATCTGGTGCCGCTGTGACTGTGACAGCCCTGGAGGCATTGCTGTGCCCTTCGGCCACCGTGGTCCAAGTCTGCTCCAACCCACCATGTGAGACCCATGAGACGGGCACCACCAACACAGCCACTACCTCGAGCGCAGGCAGTGCCCAGCGGGTCTGCTCCAATCCGCCATGCGAGACCCACGAGACGGGCACCACCCATACACCTACCACCGCCACCTCCAGCGGGGCTGCGGGCCAGCCTGAGGGTGGGCAGCAGCCCCCTGCTGGCCACCCCTGTGAGACACACCAGACCACTTCCACTGGTACCACCATGTCGGTCAGCGTAGGAGCCCTGCTCCCTGCCACCACTCCCTCCCCCAGGACCCTGGAGTCCACCTTGGAGGTGGCAGCACCACCCACGGTTACCCCCCAGGCCGGCGTTTCGTTACTGGCTCCTTTCCCGACACAGAGGGTGTGCTCCAATCCCCCCTGTGAGACACACGAGACAGGCACCACGCACACGGCCACCACTGTCACCTCCAACATGAGCTCAAACCAAGGTGAGTGAAGGCGGCCGGCCTGGCATTTCTGCTCCCTCAGAGCCCAAGGCTCAAAGGATAAGGGAAGTGGTGGCTGAAAGGTCTGTCTAGCCAGAGGCCAACAGGTACATTCCGGGGAGCTCAGTTTACGTGGCGGGGGTGGGGCACGGGTCCTCCAAGCAGCTGTGTCTCATGGTGGCAAAGCCATGCGGAGGGAGGCTCTAGGGCTCCTGCCACCCAGCCTCCTCCCTAGGTTCCTCCAGGCCGAGTGCCTCTCACCTCACTCTGCTTCCTCCCCACAGATCCCCCACCAGCTACCAGCGACCAGGGAGAGGTGGAGAGCACCCAGAGTGACAGTGTGAACCTCACCAGCTCCAGTGCCATCACGACCACTGTGTCTTCCACGCTAACGCGGGCTGTGACCACTGTGACACAGTCCACGCCGGTCCCTGGCCCCTCGGTGCCGGTAAGAGCCCTGGCTGGGTCCCCTCTTGCCTCCCTGTTGCCCACTGTGCCTTTGGCCGTGCTATTCTGGAGTCAGACACCAGGTGTCACTCTTGTACCAGGCACTGTGCAGTTCCTGGTCCCTTCTCCAGACCATAAAAGGGCAGCTTGGTGCATGACAAGGCAGGAGGCAGGAGTCCCCCATCCTCTGGAGTCTCACAGGCACTTTCATTTCCGTAGCTGTTTCCCACAGCCTGTCATTTCACTGTAGCCTATGAGAGTGACACAGTGGGAGTCTGAGTGCCACTTTGGCTAGACCAGGAGGCCTCTCTGAGGGCAGGTTGAAGTGACCAGCAGGTCTCGAAGGTCTCGCCGCCTCCTGCCGCCCCCTCCCCATTTCACGGGGTTGCGCTGGCCTGTTGAGAATGAAAATCCAGGCCCACAGGGAAAGATGAAGGCTGCCTGGTTCTGGCCTCTCTCTCCTCCCCTCTGACGGGGGCTTCTCTCCCTTTCTAGAAGATCTCATCAATGACTGAGACTACCCCAGGGGCTCTGACCACCGAAGTCCCCATTCCGGCCACGATAACAGTGACCATAGCCAACACAGAAACTTCTGACATGCCCTTCTCTGCTGTTGACATCCTGCAGCCCCCAGAGGAACTCCAGGCCTCACCAGGGCCTCGCCAGCAGCTGCCGCCACGGCAACTCCTGCAGCCCGCCTCCACACCCCTGATGGGGGAGTCCACCGAGGTCCTGTCAGCCTCCCAGACCCCTGAGCTCCAGGCCGCCGTGGATCTGAGCAGTACAGGGGACTCATCTTCAGGCCAGGAGCCTGCCAGTTCAGCTGTGGTAGCCACTGTGGTGGTCCAGCCACCCCCGCCCACACAGTCTGAAGTAGACCAGTTGTCACTTCCCCAAGAGCTGATGGCTGAGGCCCAGGCGGGCACCACCACCCTCATGGTAACAGGGCTCACCCCTGAGGAGTTGGCAGTGACTGCTGCTGCTGAAGCAGCTGCCCAGGCCGCAGCCACAGAGGAAGCCCAGGCCCTGGCCATCCAGGCAGTGCTCCAGGCCGCCCAGCAGGCTGTCATGGGTAGGTGCTGGGGCAGGGTGGCTCTCCACGCTATCTTCAGTTGAGGCCAGACAGGGGCCCTGAGGGGAAGATGGCCCCCTCAGGAGGAGCAAGGACATGGGATTCTGGAGTGTCCCTGTTGATGGTCCTGGCTGTAGGGCTGCAGTGATGGGCAGCTCGAGAAGAGGAGGCTCACTTCCTGCCAGGGTGGCATGAGTCAGAGGTGAAGGGGAGGATGGCCACATCGGACAGGCTGGACTTGGCACCCAGGAAGGAGGCAGGGCCCCTTGGTTGGGGAAGGGGAGGGTAGAGGTGAGCCAGGAAACAAGGTCCGGGGGACAGGTTCTAAGGGTCTTTGTCTATTGGGACTGCCCATAGTGCTCAAGTGGAGAGACCAGGCTGGGAGGGGAGTGACAGTGGGAAGCCAGGGACAGGCTCCTCCTGGCTGGCGTTCCTGTTGAGTAGTGTTTTTCTCCACCCTGGAGCAGGCACTGGAGAACCCATGGACACGTCCGAGGCAGCAGCAGCCGTGACACAGGCAGAGCTGGGCCACTTGTCAGCCGAGGGCCAGGAGGGCCAGGCCACCACCATCCCCATCGTGCTGACACAGCAGGAGCTGGCTGCCCTGGTGCAGCAGCAGCAGCAGCTGCAGGAGGCGCAGGCCCAGCAGCAGCACCATCACCTCCCCACCGAGGCCCTGGCCCCTGCCGACAGCCTCAATGACCCGACTATTGAGAGCAACTGCCTCAACGAGCTGGCCGGGGCTGTTCCCAGCACTGTGGCCCTGCTACCCTCCACAGCCACTGAGAGTAAGTTCTTGCAGCACCCGCTCCGGGGTGGGCCCCCCTGTGCAGAGGTGGGGAGTGTGGTCTGGCCCAAGGGAGGAGCTCCCACACAGAAACCAGGTCTCTGGGGCCTTTCCCATTGACGCCCTCTTTCCTCCCAGGCCTGGCCCCTTCCAACACATTTGTGGCTCCCCAGCCAGTCGTGGTAGCCAGCCCTGCGAAGCTGCAGGCTGCAGCTACCCTCACTGAAGTGGCTAACGGCATCGAGTCCCTGGGCGTGGTAAGTCTGGTGTGACAGGGATTTAGGGAGCACTGCCTCTGGGTTCTGAGGGCTGAGGGCCTGATCTCTTCTCCCCTTTCTATCTTCCAGAAGCCGGACCTACCACCTCCACCCAGCAAAGCCCCTGTGAAGAAGGAGAATCAGTGGTTTGATGTGGGGGTCATTAAGGGCACCAACGTAATGGTGACACACTATTTCCTTCCACCAGATGATGCTGTCCCATCTGATGTAAGTGTCCCTAGGAGCTGACGCCCTCGGGTGGGTGGATCCTGGCCATGAGGCAGGTACCGGGGCTTTCAGGGACTTCTGAAGCTCCCCAGAGGTGGCATCTTGGGGCCGGCCCAAGGACAGCCAGGTGCAGAGCCTTCCCCACACACTGCCTCGTCCTGCACCCCTTGAAGCACCAGAGAAGCCCAGTCTGTCTACCTCGCCATGTCCTCCCTTGTCACGAAGGGGCTGCCATTGCTGCCCTCTTCCCCCCTCCCCCCACTCCTCTCTCACATGGACCTCCATCATGCCCCAGGTGGAAAACTGCTCTATGGGCCCCAAAGCCATACCCCATCCAGAGCTGCCATCTCGACGGTGAGGTTCATGTCACTTTTTTCTCTCTCTCCCTGTTCTTTCTGTCTTTTTCCCCAGGATGACTCGGGCACTGTCCCAGACTATAACCAGCTAAAGAAGCAGGAGCTGCAGCCGGGCACAGCCTATAAGTTTCGTGTTGCCGGGATCAATGCCTGTGGCCGAGGGCCCTTCAGCGAGATCTCAGCCTTTAAGACGTGTCTGCCTGGTTTCCCAGGGGCCCCCTGTGCTATTAAAATCAGCAAAGTGAGTCTTTCTGTGGTGTGGCTCTCTGTCCCCGGCTGGTTCCCTGCTCACCTGGAGCATAGCAGGCCTTGGCTGAGGCCATACACACGCAAGTCCCTTCTATGCTGGGGCAGGTGGGGGTGACCCAAGAGGGGCCCCAAGATGTAGGCAGAGTCAGCCAGGTCTGGAGTGAAGCCTGTCACCAGTTGCCAGGGTGACAAGAGCAAGTTCCTTCCTTCTCTTGGCCTCAGTCTCCCTCTCTGTAACATGACAGCTGATGTTCAGCAAGTGTCCACTACATGCCACATTCAACATGTTCTTTTATCCAATCCTTGAAACATCCTGAGGAGGTATGGAACCTGTTGTTAGCTCCATGCTCCTGATGAGCAAACTAAGGCACCAAGAGGCTAAGTGACAAGTCATAGATTAGGGGCAGAGCAAGTATAGGCAGGCTGTGTTCCGAGTGGGGCAGATGAGGCCATCTCTTTGGAGCTTCTTGAACTCTGCTGTAAAATAGCACTGTGTCAGGAAGAGGGGTGAAGTATGAGCAGTCAGTTCTGGAAGCTGCAAGGCATTCTAGCTCGTCTATTCACAGATAGGCAGAGTGGGATAAAGTCCCACAGGCCGAAGACAGCATCACTTGACCTTTTCCCCGTTGCTTCTAGAGTCCGGATGGTGCTCACCTCACCTGGGAGCCGCCCTCTGTGACCTCGGGCAAGATCATTGAGTACTCCGTGTACCTGGCCATACAGAGCTCACAGGCCGGTGGTGAGCCCAAGAGCTCCACCCCGGCTCAGCTGGCCTTCATGCGGGTGTACTGCGGGCCCAGCCCGTCCTGCCTCGTGCAGTCCTCCAGCCTCTCCAACGCCCACATCGACTACACCACCAAGCCTGCCATCATATTCCGCATTGCTGCCCGCAACGAGAAGGGCTACGGCCCAGCCACCCAAGTGAGGTGGTTGCAAGGTAGGTGTCATTTGTTGGGCTCCTTGGGCAGCCTCTGGGTGGGAGCTGAGGAGTGGACACCCCTGGTTGAGTATCAGGTGGGGCAGAGTGGCCCAGCTTCAAGCTGGACTTTGGAGCTTTATAATCTGGGGCGCCTGATGGCCTAGGGTGCTACGGAGGTGTCTTGCAGGGGTACCTCGCCTCATCTGGGGGTACAGGGAAAGCTTCCCAGGGGCGTTTGAGGTAGATGGGTGGGGAGAATGGCAAGAATGTGAAGTAGGAGGCACCAGGGGAGGCTAGAGCCCAGTGGGCAAGGCACGGGGTGGGGAGCAGAGGCCCAGGCTGCAGGTTGTATGCCAACTCCCACGAGGCTGACCAGGGAGGACAGTGAGGGCCTCTAACCTGAGTTCAGGGCAACCCTTGGGGGTGGCACACAGGTGGCCAGAACCATGGGGAGCATGCCTACGGGAGGGGTTGTCACGCTCTGGAGGTCAGCTGGCTGTGCTGAGGGGAAGGGGATTGCAGATACTTCCTTTGCTCTTGCTCTCTTGGCCCATGTGCTGCTGTGGGACTGGAGTCCTGCTGTCCACCTTGCTCAGCTGCTCACCGCTCCCTCTTCCCTTTCAGAAACCAGTAAAGACAGCTCTGGCGCCAAACCGGCCAGCAAGCGGCCCATGTCCTCTCCGGAAATGTAAGCAGGAAGCCCCTTTCAGAAACCTTCTGAGGCTGGGGGTGGGCAGCTTCTGGGAGGAAGGAACAGTGGGAATACTAGGGCTCCACTTCTCCTTAAATGATTTGGGAGGGGGCTCAACTGGGTGTGAAGCCCCTCTAGGTACCAGGCAGAGACTTGTCAGGACCCATGCTAACACTGTCTTTACCTTTTCCTTCCATTTTCCAAGGAAATCCGCTCCAAAGAAATCTAAGGCAGACGGTCAGTGAGAGGCAACTGCCCCGCGCCTGGATGCTTCTCCAGACACCCCTTCTGCTTCAGGAACGCCACCTGCCAGGGCCCGCCCGTCCCACCCACTCGGCGCTCACACTTCACCCTCACGAGCCACTGGCCGCCATTCATTCTCTCCCTCTCTGTTTTTAAAATTATCTCAAGAAAGCACATTTTACCATTGCTGTTGGGGGGAAGTGGAAGGCAGAGCTGGAAGAGCAGTGAGCAAGTGAGAGCAATGCGCCTTCCTCCCCCACCCGCCCCTCCCCCGCCAGCGCCTTCCCCTGAGAGCTGAGCAAGCCCAGAGAATTCAGAGGCCCTCAAGGGAGAGAACTAGAAACCTAAAAGGAAGGAGACGGCATAGAAGGAAGGAGACGGAATGCATGCACCCCCAAAACCTGCACACCTCTTGCTGTTTGTCACCCTTGGCTCGAGGGGGCAGCCAAGGGCTGGGGGGTGCAGGCATGGAAGCTGAGGAAAGGCGCCGCCCACTCATGCCCCTGCCCCGCCTGCTGCCACAGGCTTTGTGGGGCACCCCAAGCTGGGTGTCTGGCTGGTTGTATTTTATTTTGTTACCTTCGCATTTTCTGCCACCTAACGGCGGCCCCCCTTTGGCTTACCCAACCCTGTCTTTGCCGGCGATCCCACAGGAAGCTTACACGTTTTCTCAGAGGCCTTCGTACTCCCACCTCTTCTCGCCTTCCCTCTTCTTTCCCATTTAAAAAAAGAGAAGAAAGAAAGAAAAAGAAAAGGGGCGAAGAAGGAGCCCCATGGTGGCCTGAGCAGTGTTCTGTGAAAACCTCCCAACTCCCAGTGGGGCCTAGAGTAGCCCCCGAGCCTGGCCTCGGCCCCCCCCGGGTCGGGCTGGGGCCACATCGCCAACTGCTGCATTGGTTGTATTGTTTTCAGTTGAAATTGATGAAGTTAACATTTTTATTGTAATTTTAGCCTTAGTGTGTGGGGTTTTGTCCCTTTTTTTTTGTTGTTAGCTGTGTACAGAATGTGTATCTTTTTTTTTTTTTTTTTTTTTTTTTTACTTTTTTCTCCTTGGCTAAGCCTTCGCAGGGATCTTTCTGGAGGAAAAGCCCTGGGAGCAGCTGGGGCAGGAGAGGCGGGGAATCTCCCCTGTAGGCCTTGTGTTTGCTGCCCAGCCCGATTTCCTCTTGCTGGCCCCTGCCCTCTGGGACAAGGGAGGGTGAGCAGTCAGACCTCACTCACATGGTCTCCACACCTATAGGATCGAGCTTGAGAGTCTGCTGGAGCCTGCAGTCGGTCAGGTTTCTGAGGATGGCTGGGGGTTGGGAGCAGCTGCGTGCCATCCTCCTGATCCTGGGTTCCCAGTGCCCTCCAGCACCCCCAGGCTCCCTCCTGGGCACAGCTGGCTTAGAGTGTCTGACTCCTCCACTGCTGCTTCCTGCGGCCGCCACCTCCAGGCAAAGTTGTGAGGAAAGGGGGTTGGGGGAAGTGGGGCTCAGGCAGCCTGGGAAGGAGCCAGCCAAGAGCACTAGCCACCAGCTCTATGAATCTGCAGCGCTGTCCCCAGGCTGAGCCCATCCTCCTAGGGCCAGACTTGGGCTTGGGGCTCTGCTTGGAGTGGCTAATGAGACAGCTTTCTGCCCCACACCCCAGCTTTAGGCAACCAGCAGGGCTGCAAGCAGGTTACAGAAGGATTTAAAAGGAGCAGCCAATCTTTTCAGACCCCACCCTGGAGACAGCTGTGGCCTGGGGCCTCCACAGACACCCCCGCCCCCAACACCACCACCACCACCACCAGCCAGTGGCCTCTGGGCCCCTGGTTTGTTGTATTCTAGTAGATTTCGCTGTGGAAAACGTCCCGTTTAGTCACCTTGGAGCCCACTCGCCTGGTCCCATTGTTGACCCCGGTCCCTTCCCCTGAGTGCCCTTTGATTTCTCGGTTCTGAGAACAGTACACCCGTCATCTATTGTAGAGTAACCCCGTGACTCAATATTACCATAGTGCGATGTTGTTTTGTGCTATTTTGAACAATTAAAAGACTTTTTTTGAAATAACCATCTGCTGCCCCTTGCTCTGTCCAGGCCTCTGACATGAAGGGGCCAGAGGGGGGAACTGGGCCCCCAGGGCTCACTGAACCCCCTGGGAGCCTCTTGCTTGCTGGGCCTGCCATGAGTAGGATTCTGCTTCCCAATTGCCCCCCAAGTTTCGAGACTCCATCACATTCCTGGCCTTGGGACTGAGCCAGGCTGCCCGCAGAAGGTCCCACAATGCAGGGCACAGGCCAAGGGGCTCCCTGTCACGAGACTGGATCACCTTTCCTTCCCTCCCCAGCCAGAGGACAGGGGACTAGGGCAAAGGCCTAGGCAGGTCACCAACCACCAGCCTCCTTGGATGGTTAGGGAGGGCCGAGCTGGAGCTCTTTCCCCTAGGAGCTCAGGGCCCCCAGAATGCCCCCGGAGTGTCAGCTGTGCAGGACAGATTGGCGTTACCCACAGGCTGGTTTCCCTGTGTGGGGCTCAGCAGGTGCTGCAGGTGGGAATCCTCTTGTCTAGCTCCCTCTGGCACATGAACCAGGACCCCAAAGGGGAAGAAGCCTAACTTTTATTGAACCAACTGTGACAGTCCCACTGTTGGGATGGGGTGGTATTGCTAGGGTGGGTGGTATAGGCAGGGTTAGATGGATGGAATTAGTACTTAGTGCCAACCATCCAGGAGGCCCAGAGAACCCGGGGCAAGGCAGCCGGAGGAGTGTGGCCAGGGCTCAGCAGGTGTGGGTCTTGGTGCCAGACGGGGCAGAGGGGAACAGCACAATGCTGCCAGAGGGCACGCTGGTCCCAGTGCTGGTGCTAGGGAGAGAAGGGGCATGGGGAGACGCTTCTTCAGCATGCCCCCCCTCATTTCCCCCTCTGGCCCAGTCACTGGTACCAAAAGCCACCTCCTCCATCTCTGCCTAGTGAGTGTGCGTGCACGCGCCCATGGGCCGAACTCACGGACATAAGGCCCAGTCCAATTCCACCTCTCCCAGGAAGCTCCAAAGGCGAGCTCTTTCTCTGGTGCTCACTCCACTGGGCTCATGGTGTCTTGTATCATATGGGGTCCTGTGGATCTTGGCACTGGGAGCTATGGCTCTGTCTTCCCCACCTCACCAACTCTGACATGACCCAGAGCCCAGTGGCCTTATGGGGGACAGGGGCCCAGGAAGAGGGACAGGTACGTGTTCTTCAGATTGGAGCAGTAGGAGCAATCCCCAGGGGTGGGAAGACATGGGCTGGCTGGGGCAAAGAGTACATGTGGGGCTGTCTCCAGAAGGGGAGGGGCCTGTGCAGATCTGCCAGACATGGGACAGATGGCTCTGTGGCTGCTTAGCCTGGTGAGGGCTATAGGGGTTCTTCCCACCCCGCTCCGCCATCTCTCAGCTCACCTGCCTCAAGGGCCACACCAGTAGCGTCTTTGGCGCTGGTCTCCAAATGCTGGGCTCAGCCTCCTGGGGAGAGACCTGCACAGCACCCCCTGGACCCAGGGCCAGGGGGCCCACCCACAGGAACCTTGGAACCCTCCACACACCAAAGCTTGTCCTTGGCTAGGTATGAGGGGGACAGAGTGCAAGAAAGGCAGGGGAGAGGCTGGACATGAAGGGAAATATGCCATAAATAGTGACAGGTGTCTGCAAGCAGAGTGGGTCAACACAAGCCCAACTGGGCCCAAAGCCAGAACACTTTAAGCATAAGCTAAGGTGGGGGTGACACAGAGCAGCTACAGTATACACCTACCTGCCGGCCAGGAGCATCAGTCTTATTCCCAAGCATCACAAAGGGGAACTGTTTTCGGTTGGGAGGGTCAGCCTGCAGCAGGAACTCTGCCCACCATGCAGCCATAGCCTGGAAGGAGGCAGCTACAATGACACCAGCACACAGCAGTGGGAGCCACCGAACAGCACCATGCCCAGGAACTGGAACCTCTCCATGCCGGCTGTGGCCCAGTGCTGCACTGATGAGGTGGAGAGGCCCAGTTACACTCCTGGGCTGCCATGGATCCTTCCAGAAGAAAGGATGACCGACCCAGAAGTCCAAGATCCTCCGAGCCACACTGGGAACCCAGGGGCCTCAGGCGTTCTGGCCCTTGGAACACTCCCTCCACATAACTGCTGCTGGCAGGGAAAGTGAGGGACAGTTCGGCCAGCCTTCCTTGGAGCACCTGATCAGGTCAGACAGTCACAGAGCCACACAAAGCAGATCTGAGCGCTGGAAGACAGGTCTGGAGAACTTGGTGGGGCCTGAAGGCAGAGAAGTCCTGGGATGCCCACGCTTATCTGCACAGTTACCCTCTGGCCTTCCAGCTGCATCACTTGAGTGAAGAAGTCAGCACTAACGGTTGCCTGCTACTGACTGCTGAAGCAGTGGGTGAGGAGCTGATTCATCAGAGGGGACTTGCCCACCCTGTGGGGTCACAGGTCAGAGGAGCCTCTGGGTTCAGGCATTTCCAGCTGTCCCCTCTCCTGCTGTACTGCACCCTCACGCCCTTGCTGGGGCCACCGCCCTCGGCCGCCCTGCCCTGATCAGGCAGGCCCTCGCCCACTAGGGCCCCTCTCTGGGCTCAGCTCAAGGGTGGGGAAAGGTGTCTGCGGCGGGGTGGAGGGGGCGGCCCCGCGTTCCCCGCCCCCTCCTGCCCCAGACCGTTCTGCCAGCCCACCCAGCGTCTCCCAGAAGGAGGATCTTGAGCCAAGGGCGCCTAGCAGCCGGCATCTCGAAGCCCTGCAGGACTCTACCGCCGCCGGAGGGTCGCGGATGGGCTGAGCGTGGGGGCGGAGCCAGAGCGCAGGGGCGGGGCCCGCGACCGCCAAGTCCCGCCCCTGCCGCGGGCCCCGCCTCCGAGCCCTGCGGAACCCCCGATAGGAGGGTGTGGGTGGGGCGCGGCTGGGTCAGCTGAGTGACAGTCACGGGACCGCGACCAGCTCCGTCTGGCTTCCTGGAGGAGAGGGAGGGATGAGCGGGGGTCTCCGAGTGTGGCAGGCCAGTGGTGGGGCCCGTGGGAGGGAGGGTGCAGTCCTGGAGCGTCCCTGGGACGGTGGAGTCAGCACGGTCCCGTGCTGGAGGGCAGCCCCGAACAAGGGTGGGGGGAAGCCCAAGGGCTGGGTCCCAAGGCCGGGGGGCCTAGAGGGCCTAGGGGGCCTCAGGTAGCCCTGGGTCCCACTTAAGTCTGGAGTGATCTGGGGCACAGTGGAGCCCGTTGAGGAGGCTGGGCCCCGGGAAGATGGGGAGATCTGTGAGGGAGCTGCGCTTCTAATTGCCGAGTTCCCCCAGGACATGGAGAAGGAGCAGGAGACTCTGCAAGCCTGGAAGGAGCGAGTGGGGCAGGAGCTGGACCGAGTGGTGGCTTTCTGGATGGAGCACTCCCATGACCAGGAGCATGGGTGCGCCTCCCCCTCCCAGTGCCCTCAGATCTGCTGAGCCCAGAGGGGCGGCGAGCCGGTGGGCGGGTGCGAAGCCCCTTCCCCCTTTGTTAATGCTGCACGTCCTGCAGGGGCTTCTTCACGTGCCTCAGTCGCGAAGGGAGAGTGTATGACGATCTCAAGTATGTCTGGCTGCAGGGGAGGCAGGTAGGGGATGTGCCCAGGCCGGCAGCTCTCCCAGGGGTGGAAGCCGGAGTTGCCTTGCCCTGTCCTGCCTCGGTACACACACACACACACACACACACACACATACACATACACGACAAGGCCCATCATCTCAACACTCTTCCTCCCACAACAGGAGCACCTAGGACTCACTGCCCCTCATGCCAGCCCTGAGGCCCCCACTGCTCTCCGTTAAAGGCGTGTTCCCTCCACTCCCCCACAGGTGTGGATGTATTGTCGCCTGTACCGCAAGCTCGAGCGCTTCCGCCTCCCTGAGCTTCTGGATTCAGCTAAAGCAGGTGCCTCCTCTCTGCCCCCATCTCCCCAGAGGTCCCTCCAAGTTAGTGCACGTGTGCCTAGTTCCTAGCGGGTCTAGAAGCAGCAAAGGGCCTGCGGACACTCACAGGGAGGAAGGAAGGGGGAGGTGAGGGTTTCCTCACCTAAAGTCTAGCATGCCAACTTCCCAACCACCAGGTGGTGAATTCTTGCTGCGTCATGCCCGAGTGGCACCTCCTGGGAAGAAGTGTGCCTTTGTGTTGACACGGGACGGCCGCCCTGTCAAGGTGCAGAGGACCATCTTCAGCGAGTGTTTCTACACCATGGCCATGAACGAGCTGTGGCGGGTGACAGGGGAAGCGCGTTACCAGGTGCGTGTGAGGAAGGCTACCCTGTGAGTCTCTGGGCCCTAGCCTGTGCAGGGAATGGCCACCTGACACATTCCTGTTCCCTGTGCAAGCCCCTGCCCCCCCCCCCCCCCGGAGCCCTGTCTGCAGGCTGGGTCTGTCAATGTCAGGCCTTCCTCTGGGCCGCCACAGCCCGGCTGCTGGCAACACCCCCTTTGTTGTGCTGTATTGTCACCATGTGTCTATGGGTGACCCCCTAGAAGTCTCCTTTACCTCTGAACTCTCCTCCACACACTCCCACAGAGGCCCTCGGCACAGAGGGACCAATCTATGCCCTGCCCGGGCTGGGGGGTGGGCCTCTCTCTCCTCCCTGGGCCCCCTGTGCTTTCAGACCCGACCCCACTGCCTGGGAGCGGCCTGCACCCCCAGACTGGGAGCCCGCAAGGCAGGTGGGCCAGATCCACCCCAGCCCCCAGCACGCACCCTGGGGTGAGGTCCAGAGTGGGCCCAGGGGAAGGTGTCCTACGAGTGGGTGGGAGGACACAGTTCTCTCACCCCGGTGCCGAGTCCTGGGGACCCTGCAGGTCAGCACGTGAGGGACCAGACTGCATGGGAGGCAGCGTCAGCCTGGGCCTTCCCTCACCTCCTGTCCCAGAGCGAAGCGGTGGAGATGATGGACCAGATCGTGCACTGGGTGCGAGAGGACCCGTCAGGGCTTGGCCGGCCCCAGCTCCCGGGGACCCCGGCCTCGGAGTCCATGGCGGTGCCCATGATGCTGCTTAGCCTAGTGGAGCAGCTTGGGGAGGCGGACGAGGAGCTAGCAGGCAACTACATGGAGCTGGGCAACTGGTGTGCCCAGAGGATCCTTCAGCACGTCCAGGTGGGGGCAGGAGGCTGATGCCGGCTGCCAGAGGGGGCCTGGGAGCTGGGGGGCAGGGAAACCCCCATTCCCCACCCCCCGGGGCACCCCCTCTACTCGCACCCACCTTCAAGCTGGGCCCTGATGGCCTCCTTCAGACAGGGAGACACGGGAAGGCTGGGCCGGGGTGAGGTGCGGCCCAGGACCCTCGGGAAGGTGGAGGGCCCCAGGAGAGTCCACACACCCCACCACAGAGAGTCAGGTGGGGCTGAGGGCAGGAGAGAGGGTGCCAGAGCCCCTGGGCATGCCAGAGAGCAGGAAACCCGGCCAGACCCAAGTCCTTTCAGGCCTCAGGGGGCAGCCCAGCCCACCCAATCTCAGTCCCTGTTCAATGTTTCACCCTTCCCACCTCAGGGACTCAGGCCCGAGGCAAGTGTTAGAATCCGTCCAGGCCCTTGAAGTGACTCGGGCCCCCACCTCAAATGCCTCTCTCAGCCAGGCCTGCTGAGCCTGCAGATCATGGAGGGAGGGAGGGGGGGAAGGAGAGTCTTTCTGATTGGATGGGGGCGCTGAAGGCAGAATTACCTTCTCTTGCTCCTCCTCTGGCAGAGGGATGGGCAGGCTATACTGGAGAACGTGTCAGAGGGCGGCGAGGAACTTTCTGGTTGCCTGGGGAGACACCAGAACCCAGGTGAGAGGCAGGGTGGGCTGGAGGCCTGCACTCAGGGGAGGCGAGCGCTCAGCCTTGGGTTCTGGGCTTCGATGTGGTGAGCACCTGGGGGCTGCCTTCCTCCCTCCACCTTCCACACAGACAGAGAAGTAGGGACCAGCCTTTCAGGCTGGGGCGTCAGCAGCAGGAGAGCGAGACTGAGACAGACCGGGAGAGCCAGCTTTCTGTAGGGGTGTTCGGGAGGGAGGGAGGAGGGAAGGCACTGTGGTCAGTGCAGGGGCTTGGGCCCCCCTGCCTGGGGAAGGATCGGCTGCCTGTCTTACCCCGAGCCCTCACCAGGCCACGCGCTGGAAGCTGGCTGGTTCTTACTCCGTCACGCCACCCGGAAAGGTGACCCAGAACTTCGAGCCCATGTTATTGAGAAGTTCCTATTGTTGCCTTTCCGCTCTGGATGGGACCCTGACCACGGAGGCCTCTTCTACTTCCAGGATGCCGACGGCCTTTGCCCCACCCAGGTGGGAATGTGCCTAGGGCCACATGGTACTAGCCTGTTCAAGGCCTTCTGTCCTGGGAGGTGGGTGCTGTCCTTGGTTGGTTCATAGAAGGGAACCTGGGACTTGGAGTGGTGAACTTGCCCAGCGTGACCCCGGTGGTCAGCTCTTGACTTCTGTGCTGGTGGTTCTCACCCTCACATGCATAGGAAGGCCAGTGCAGCGACACGTGTCCCCCTGGTCTTTGAAAGGCTCTCTGGCCTTCTGAGGCATCAGCAGCTGGAGCAGCTTTCCTCTCTTTATGTCCATTCCCTCTGACCAAGGCCTTGGTCCTTCTGTGATCTATAGAGGGGGCTGGCCCTGCCACTAGCAGGAGCTGAGCGTCCAAGGGGCTTTAGATAGACTAACAAAACAGACAGCATTTCGATTCCAGGCCTAAATGGGAGCTGGTCCCACCCTTGCCTTTTGGAAGGGGCTACTCAGAGAGCCTCTGGGTCGGGCAGCTAGTCCACCTCTGAGGGGTCGTTCAGACTCCCAGGGATGACCATCCCATGATTAAGCTCCAAGTGCTCAGGCCAGATGGAGTCTGAGCCAGGATCTGAACCATGGGGTTGACTGACTTTCCTGCCGAGAGGGGCAGTGGAGGGTGGGGCTCAGGGGCCTCGGACACATGCCTCTGCTCTGCTTTCAGCTTGAGTGGGCCATGAAGCTCTGGTGGCCACACAGCGAAGCCATGATTGCCTTCCTCATGGGCTACAGTGACAGTGGGGACCCTGCCTTACTACAGCTCTTCTACCAGGTGGCTGAGTACACCTTCCGCCAGGTAAATGCTGCTTCCTGGACCAGAGCCCTCTCTGGGCTCAATGGGGGTATGGAGGAGACAGCAGGCAGCCCTTCCTCCCCAGGCAGGCCTGGGCTGTCTGGGAAGGCTGGGCAGGAATGAGGAGGCTCGCTCCACACCCCCTTCGACCCCCCTCACTGAGCGTGGTCCCTCCACTGGGCTGAGAGTTCCTGGAGGTCCAGGCCGGCCCTCTGTTCAGTCAATGAAGCGGCCCCTGGCCTTCCTGGAGCTCACATTTCAGTGGTGGGGTGGGGACAGATTATAAACAAGCAAGCCAGCAAACATAGAGATGGTGATGAGAGCTGTGGAAATAAAGCAAGGTCAGGGGACTGGGGTGGGGGGCGAGAGGAGGGAATAAAGGTGAATCAGAGGTGCTCTGCACAGAGGGGTCTCCTTGTCTGACTTAGGTGTTATGGGTCCTGGGACTTTGGGAGGGGAGGCTGTAGGGCCCGGGGCAACGGCAGGGAGACAGGAGGCTGTAGCTGTCATCTCAGCCAGCAAGGACAGGGCCTGGCCTGAGAAGCGAGCTGCAGTGGGCAGAGAGGGCTCAGAGTCTGGTTGAGTGGGAGAGGTCTGGGTGGCCACAATCGTTCAGGTGGCATAGAACATAGATGGTACTGTAAGCTTTTGAGGACAGAAGGAGAAGAGGAGAGGGAGTAGGAGAGCCCAGTAAAGGAGACAAGAAGAAGCCAGGGGCGCCCAGAGGCCAAAGTGCTATAAGCAGAGTGATGAGCTGTACCAGCTGCTACCAAGGGTGCTGAGCCTGGTGGTGAATGAAGGAAGATCCCTGATGTGTTTGTAAAGCCACCTCTCACTCCACTGGTAAACCCCAGTATGGGAGGGACTATATCAGGGGGCGTTATTCTGGGGTCTGTGGCCTTCGAAACCTAGGAGCAAATTCCATCGTTGTTTGCACTAACCTCAAACTGAAATCCAGTGTGTGCTTCCGTTGTGAACGGAGGCGGTGAGCCACGGTGGTATTAGCAGTGCTCAACTTTGTCACCGATCGAAATCCCAAATGTGTTCATATTATGTTGCAGTTAGAGAGGCATCTCCAAGTATCGCGCATGCTCATCACTGCTTCCCAATACAGGAGTCGTGAGGCCCTTGGCTCTCTTTTAATCTTGAATGCATTCATAAAGAACATGTCTTAGAAACCACTAGTTTTAACTGCATAAAGTGAAATTTAAGGAATACATTTTAAACAGAGAGAGATGGCATTGAACAATTACAAAAGTTATAATCAACAGGTAGATCATTATGCACTAACCAACATAACAGAATACAAAAAACAAAAATTCAGACATCCATGGAAAAACTGAACAGGAAAACAGTTAAATTCTTCATTATCTTCCCACGTCAGATCAAGCAGTTGAAAAATAAATAAGAACAAGGAACATGAACAATGTCCCTAGAAAGATAGAATGAATAGATACAGAACGAGTTATACCTCCTACGAAAAAAAATACACCAACTCATAGGCTCCAACTTAAGAAGACATTTTGATAGTGGACTTCAATGTCATTGATTTCATCTATGACCCTTGAGAGAAGGGGCTCCACCGAAGTCTCTACTGGGGGAGGAAAGAGAAGGGTGGAGGCCAGGCCTCTGAGGTCCATCCTGGGGCATCTGGAAGGAACTGACAAGCCTCTGGGACAGGCGCTCAATGGGATGCGGGCAGGAGAGAAGGAAGGAATGTGGAATGGGTCAGCAGAGCTGCTGGGCAGGCGCAGATTCCAGGTGGCTCTGAGGGGGGAGGAGATGTGTTTGGGACCTGCAGCGAACAAGGCAGGAGTCAGATCTTCGTGCTGCATGTCCACAATCTCACCTACTGGAAGACAGGCCTGGGAAGAAGGGAACAGGGGCTCCAAGGGAGTAACTTGTTACAAAGTTATGTGACAGGTCAGCGAGGACCTCCATTAGGATTCTCTTTGTTTCTTTCTTTAAATCAATTTTATTGAAGTACGATTTATATACACTAAAATGTATCCATCTTGTGTTCAGTTCACTGAGTTATGACAATGTATGCATCTGTGTAACCACCAGTGCAATCAAGATATAGAATGTTTCTGTCATCCCCAAGCAGGGTTCTTTTTATTCCATCTTGCAGTGTTTCATCTTACAGCCTGTGGCCCCTTCCCCCAGTGGGTTATCTAGCTGCAGACTTCTACCCCACTGCAGAAAGAGGAAAAAGGAAAGCCCCTTTGTCTCATCTTTGTCCAGGACACGTTATCACGGTTAAGAGCACTGAATCTGGAGCCCACGTTACCTGGGGTCAACCCAGGCTCTGACCCGGGGTAGGGGTACAGTAGGGACGGTGAGCACCCCTTCCCCAGGCCTTTGGCATCTGGGGGGCTGCCGTCTGGGCAGGCGCTGGCTGTCACTGTCTCATTGTTATTCTAGTTTCGCGATCCAGAGTTCGGGGAATGGTTTGGCTACCTGAACCGTGAGGGGAAGGTCGCCCTCACCATCAAGGGGGGTCCTTTCAAAGGTGAGTGGGGGTCAGGGCGGGGCCGCAGGGTCTCGGGGCACTCGGCTGCCCCCCGCCCTCCCAACCCAACATCACGCCTCTCCCCGCAGGCTGCTTCCACGTGCCACGGTGCCTAGCCATGTGCGAGGAGATGCTGGGAGCCCTGCTGAGCCGCCTTGCCTTGGCCCCGGCCCCCGGCGCCCGGTTTCCGCCCGCTGTCCCCGCCCGCCAAGGAGCGGAATAAAGCTGAGCCTACTCCACTGCCCGTGTGCGCGCGTCTGTGGGGTCGCGGGAGGCGCGGGGTGCCGCGCGGGCCGGAGGGCACCTGCTCCTCGGGACAGCGGCCTGCCGGCTCGCTGGACCCTCCCACCCCGCCGACAGACCCGCCCCGCGCTGGGGCTCGCCCGGCCATTGGTCCGCCCCACCCCGGCCCGCAGACAGGCCCCGCCCCGGCACTGGCCCGCCCCGCGCGTTGGCCGAGCGGCCTGGAGGGCGGGTCCGGCGGCGCGCACATCCGGCCGGTGGCCGGGCCCGGCGCGCACCGCCCCTTCCGCCGCCGCTCCCGCGAGCCCAGACCCAGCTCCAGCCCCAGTCCCGGCCCGGCCGCCCCGGCGTCGCTTCGGAGCGCGGCGGCAGCTGACTGCGCGTTCACGCCCCGCGGGGAGCAGCGAGCCCCGCCGCCGTTATGAACATCCGCAATGCGAGGGTGAGGGGCCGGTGGCTGTCCGCGCCGCGTGGGCGCGGGGCCCGGTGGCCGCGTGCGCATGCTCCCGAGGGGCCCGGCCGAACCCGGGCCGGGCGCGGGACCTCCCCGAAGAAGAGGCCGGGGGAGCCGGGGGCGCAGGGCTGGGGCTGCGGACCCATTCGGTGCGGGATGTCGGGGCTTAGGTGTATGGTGTCCGGGAGCCTCCCGGCGCTGCTGTTCATGGCTGGGGCAGGCGATTTTGGCGTAGCGGCTCTGGGCCCGGCCTGTGCAAGGCAGATAGTCACAGCGCCCGCCCAGCCGTGCGCGGCGGGGGGGGTGTCGGGGAGTAGACAGCTGGGGAGCAGGGTGCTAGCACAACTGAGGCCTCCTTAGCGCAGCCCCTGGCCTGAGCGCATTCCACTGCCCTCGTCCCCTCAGCCAGAGGACCTGATGAACATGCAGCACTGCAACCTCCTGTGCCTGCCCGAGAACTACCAGATGAAGTACTACTTCTACCACGGCCTGTCCTGGCCCCAGGTGGGCCGCTTTTGAATTTGGAGACGGGGGAAACCAGGCTGGGGGGAAACCAGGCTGAGGAAAAGCCAACCTGGATGGGCTTGGGAGAAGTGGGCAAGGGCAGAAAGAGCCCGGGGCGTGTTGGGTGAGTGAGGCCCGCGGTGTTTTCAGCTGGAGGTGGGACAAATGGAAAGGAGGTACCTGAAGCGGGGCAAGACTCCAACCTGTGTCTGTCCTCCTCTTCTGGACTAAGGACAGGGGGCACAGTGTGGTGTGGGGAAACCAAGACACCTGGCCTGGATGTCAGGAGCTGTCACTGAACTCGCCACTTGAGCCGCTTCTGTCATGCACACAGCCAGAGGCAGGCAGTCCGCCAAAGGCTCCTCCAGCTCAGACAGGAAGTTGTTTTCTGACTTCTTTCTCCTCCCTCTCACCAGCTCTCTTACATCGCTGAGGATGAGAATGGGAAGATTGTGGGGTACGTCCTGGCCAAAATGTGAGTCACCAAGGAGAGAGAGAGAAACCTAGTGTTGGAGCTGGGGGGACTTTGGGGCTGGGTGGGTAGGGTGGCGGGCAACGATACTACACGTGTCTGGAGAATACTGCCTGGATTGTTTTTTAAAAATTAATTAAGAGACTATATTTTAAGTTCAGTTTTAGGTTTACAGAAAAACTGAAAGTACAGAGGGTTCCCATATAACCCTCCCCTCTCCCCCCAGTTTCCTCTGTTATTAACATCTTGTGATACGTTTCTTACAATTGATGAACCAGTATTGCTACGTTATTATTAAAGTCCATAGATTACATTGTTTCACTCTTTGTGTTGTACCTTTTGTGGGTTTGGACAAATGCTTAATGTCATGTATCTATGATTATAGTATCATACAGAGTAGTTTCACTGCCCTAAGAACTCTCGGTGCTCCACCTGTTCATCCCTCCCTCCCGCCTCCCCTCTGACAACCACTGACCTTTTTCCTGTCTCCATAGTTGTGCCTTTTCCAGAATGTCTTATGATTGGAATCATACACTATGTAGCCATTTCAGATTGGCTTCTTTTACTTGGTCATATGTGTTTAAGTTTCCTCTCTGTCTTTTCATAGCTCATCTTTTTATCACTGAGCAATATTCCACTGTATTCCATTGACACTGCGTATGTCTTTTGGCTGCTGCGTGGAGTTTGCAGTCCCAGCGCTCCCCGACCCCAGCGTTTGGGGCGACTTTGGGGCCAGCCAGAGGAGTCTGCACTCCTGCTGTGTGCACGTGCTGGAGGGTGGTTGCATCTGCACCAGGCTCCTTTCTAGCCTCTCTCCTTTCTTTTTGCTCTAGGGAAGAGGACCCAGATGACGTGCCTCATGGACATATCACCTCACTGGTTCGTAGGGCCCACCCGGGCTCTGGTGGGGGTAGAAGTATGGGTTAGTTGCGGCAGCCCTCAAGGTCCCACTGTTCTCCCACCAGGCTGTGAAGCGTTCCCACCGGCGCCTCGGCCTGGCTCAGAAACTGATGGACCAGGCCTCCCGAGCCATGATAGAGAACTTCAATGCCAAATATGTCTCCCTGCATGTCAGGAAGAGGTGAAAGCCGGGGCCCAGGGAAGGGGGAGTGTGTGGGGGAGATACTGTCTTGATGTGGGTCCTGGGGTGCCCTGGCTTTTGGAGAAGATCCGGGAAGTGGGATTATTGGGGAGGGGGGACCAAGAGGAGGGGCAGGACCTGGACATGCTGTCCCTGCCTGGCCAAGTCTGTGCAGCTCAGCAGTACCTTATTCCCCTGCAGTAACCGGGCCGCCCTGCACCTCTATTCCAACACCCTCAACTTTCAGTAAGTAGATCTAGATTTTTCTAATGGAGCGGGGTGGTCCCAGGTCTAGCTCATCCAGGCGGCTGAGATGGGCTGAGCTGCCTTGCAGGCAGGGGGGTGGGGGCGGCTAGAGGAAGGAGCCGGAGTCAGCTGAGATGGGGAACAGGCCGTGGATGCCGACACATTGCCCGGATGCCTCCTGCACTCTCAGTGGCACCAGCACCTGCCCACTGCAGTCTGCCCGCAGCGTGCTGTGGTACAGGAGGATGTGCGGCGTCTCTTGCTGGGTGGAGGAGTGCTTGCTGGATGCTGGCTGGGGCTGGGTGAAGGGCAGTGTGGTGAAGAGCACACAGGCTTTTCAGTGAAGGTGCAGGACTAGAGCTGAGGGCCCAGGACATGAGCAGATCCCAAGGAGCAGGACCTAGTGACCAGGCACCTAGAAACATCTAAGTGGGCCCGGAAGGAAGGAGAATGCGGTGCTACAGAAACCCAAGCACATCCAGGCAGAAAGGGCCATGGGCAAGAGCAGCGAAGGAATCTAGAGCCCTGGGCATGCTGGCGGATGAGGGCATGTCCGCTCAGGGATGTGGGAGTCTCTGTGTGCCCAACACTGGACAGAGAGAGCCTGGTAGCGAACTGATACACCCAGTACATGGTGCCAAAAGCCACTTGAAAGTGAGGCTGGGGTGGGTGGCCCCTGGAGGGCGCACTGAGATGGCACTCAGGTTGCTTGGGGGTGAGGTGGGTCTGTTGGGAGGGGCAGTGGCCTCAGGGCTGGGCATTTGAGGAGGGATGTTTGACTTGGATGCGGATGCCTCTGGTGGTCAACAGTTCCGGGGTCTTAGGGCTGACAGGGCCTTTCTAGGCCATTGAGTGCGGCTCCCCTCCCAGCGTCAGGGCACTCGAGTCTGCACACAGGCCTCCCGGTGCAGGCTCGGGCCTGGGGCCACGCCACCTGGCAACGACTGCCAGGGACAGGCCTCAGCACCCTTCCCCGCTTCCCAGGCATAGGAATCGGCTAGTAAGTGACAGGGAGCAGGGCAGGGAGGGAAGGGGATGGCTAAATGCAAGGCTTCAGCTCAGAAGAAACCACAGAAACATCCTCGGTAGCCAGGTTAGGGGTGCAGGATGGTGGCAGGCCCGGCGGGGGAGAAGCGCTGGGCACTACTTACTGCTTACTGCTGGAGAGAGCAGAGGGAAGGCCACGCTGGGAGTGGGGCTTGCTTTCTCCCAGAGGGTCCTTCGGGGAGAAATGATGCCCTGTCGTAGCAGCGGCTGAGGCCAGAAGGCCGAGGAGAACTTGCCCCCTGATTTGGGTTGTCCTCCTTCTCTCCACCCCCTGCTCCCAGGATCAGCGAAGTGGAGCCCAAATACTATGCAGATGGGGAAGATGCATATGCGATGAAGCGGGATCTCACCCAGATGGCCGACGAGGTGAGAGTCCCGTGAATTGGGGGCTGCAGTCCCCGCAGATGAGGATGAGCAAGGCCCTGCTGGAGGGGAGGTGCAGCTTGGGGCTCTCTTCACCTGTTTCCTCAGCTGTCAGGTGGGGAGCTGGGCTTTGGCGGGCCTTTAAAGGAGGCCATTGGCCCAAGATCCCATTCTCTGAGGAAGAAGTTGGTACAGCCCCGAGGCGTGATGTGAGAGGCAAGGGAGGGGGCCCCTGGGTGTGCTGAGAGCTGGGCTGAGGAGAAAGTCAAGGTCCTGCCCAAGGCTCCCTGGGGGCCAGAGCTGTTCACAGGGCTTCTCAGCAGCCCGTGTGAGGGAGGCATGAGTACCCTCACTTTGCGGGGAGAGGAAATGGAGGCCCCGAGAGGGCAGAGCCAGGACTCAACTCGTCTCTCCTGATTCAGTGCTGTGCTTCCTGCCCTGCCCCCAGCAAGTGACAAGTGCAGGCTCCCTCCCCCCATCTTGGGCAGCCAGAGAGGGCCTACATGGTCTGGAGCCTGAGGCCCTGTCTCTTTCCTCCCACTTCTCCCTGGGCTTCTGGCGGCAGCTGAGGCGGCACCTGGAGCTGAAGGAGAAGGGCAGGCACATGGTGCTGGGCTCCATCGAGAACAAGGTGGAGAGCAAGGGCAACTCACTTCCAAGCTCGGGAGAGGCCTGTCGTGAGGAGAAGGGCCTGGCCGCTGAGGATAGCGGTGGTGACAGCAAGGACCTCAGCGAGGTCAGCGAGACCACGGAGAGCACTGATGTCAAGGACAGCTCAGAGGCCTCTGACTCGGCCTCCTAGAGCCTGCATGTGCTCCTCTCCCTGCCCTGGCCTGCTCATCCCATCCTCACCCTGTGAGGTTTCACAATAAACTTCACCCAGTGGCCTTGGGGAGTTTGTGTGTGCGAGTGTGCACATTCAGGGGGTGTGCCTCTCTCTGGTCCCTTTGTGTCCCCATGGATGGGGACCTCAAGCTCAAGTAGAAGGGATTCTCTTTATCAGGGCTTTGGAGGGGGGGAGGCTCCCAAGTCTGATGGCTTTCTGCATCTCTGGGCCCTGGGGAGCCAGCCCCACCGTGGAGGCTTGGAACCTCTGCCACTGCCTTGATGGGCTCCAGCTGTGTGAGTCCAACTGCTCACTGGACTTCCCTATCGATGTTCTATCTGGGTAATGGATAGCCACCCAGTTGCTCAAGCCCTAGCAACTGTTCTTGATTCCTCCCTCCCCTGCCATCCAAAAGGTCAGCGAGTCGTGTGTGTTCAACCACCATAATACCCCTTGAATCTACTCCCTAACCCTGAGCCTTCATTTGAAAATAATAGACTTTATTTTTAGTACAGTTTTACATTTACAGAACTGAGCAGTCAGTACAGAGTTCCCACGTACCCCCACTCCCCAGTCACTCACAGTTTCCGGTATTATAAACATATTGCATTGTGGTGCATTTGTTAGAATTGATGAGCCAATATTGACACATTATTGTTAACTCTAGCCCAGGGTCTATATTTCCCTTTGTGTTACATTTTATGGATTTTGACAAATTCTCATGTCATTCATTCCATGCAAAATATAAGCCCTCCATTTGTCATGGCTTCACTAACCCTAAAATTTGCTCCTGTGCCTTTCGTAGCTGCCCTTCCCTTGATGGCTGCAGCGCCATCAGTTGCTGCTCCTAGTCCCTGGGCGGGTTCGGCCTGGGCTGCCCACCTTCCAGTGGAGCTCAGCATTCCTGAGCTGTCACTGTATCTTAGGCCCCTGCTAATACAGACGGCACGCCTGCTCCCCTACTAGGCTGAATAATTCGCCACCGGGGCCTGGACCTCGGTTCTCTTTGGCTGGCGCCTGGCACGTGACCCACAGGCGGCCAGGGAAGCTAAGACCAGGGGCTGGTGGTGGGGGCCGAAAATACGCGCCCGCGCGTGCCCTCCTGCTCGCCGGCTCCGGCGAGGCTTTGTTCTGATTGGCTCAAGTCCCAGGCTCCGTGGTAGGGATCGGAGGCGGGGCCCTACCCCGCCCTCTGCGCCTGGCGTCAGTCCCTTCCGGTTCGCAGGCCGCGGCAGGCTTCGTTCCCAGGCTCTGATTGGTCCCAGGCTCTGATTGGTCCGGAGGGAGCTCCGCGCGGCGGGGTGGGTGGGCATGCGCGGTACCTCCGCCGCGCCCCAGCGCTGGTGGGAGGGAGCCGGCAGAGGCTCCCACGGCGCCTTGCGGCGCTCTCTCTCTGCCGCCGCCCGGCCCACAGGCAGCCGGCCCGCCCTCTGCCCTCCGTGCCCTGCGTCCCGGGCGGGCGGGCTAACGCTCGGCCGCCCCCAGGCGGTTGGGTTTCCTGGGCGGAGGTGGGAGCTGTGGCTGGCGGGCGGGGGCAGAGGGGAAGCCGCAGGCCCGACTGGCCTTTGGGGCCCAGCACTTCCCCCGCCTCTGCAGCACCCGCTTCTGGCAGGGGCCGCTTCTCTGCCATGAAGCCGAGCTGAGGTTGGAAGGCCGAGGGTGGGAAAGCGGGCCCCCCGACCTCTCACCCTGTGGCTGGGAGTGGGCTCCGGGGACATCTCCCCAGGGGATGACCCTATAAACAGAGGTGCATAACCTTGACCCCTGAAGCCCCCGTTGTTAAATGCCCAGCTTTTTTCTGGAAAGCTGACTTGTAGGAAAATAGAAGGGGCCTCACAGCATCTTCATGTGGGACCCTCACTGCCGTATTCACGTACTCATTTATTCTCGATTTCACGTGGACGGCTGTAACAGCCTCCCCATTGATCTCATCTCCCTCTGGTCTGTCCTCCATGCAGCAGACCTGAGCACGCCAGCCCTGCGGTCACCCCTCAGGACCAAGTGTACAGGCTACTGGTCAACAGGATTAGTAAGGTCTAGCAGATCTGGTCCTTGCCTTCTGTGGGATAACAGGCTTTTGGATTCTTTGACGGGGAACAGTGGAGCTGAGGCTAGCACAAGCAGCAGGGCCTTAAATGCCAAACAAGCGTCCTACAAGCTAGAGCTAATTACTGGAGATTTTATTTTATTTTATTTTATTTATATTTACATTTTTTAATTTTTTTTTTCCTTTTTCTCCCCAAAGCCCCCGGGTACATAGTTGTATATTCTTTGTTGTGGGTCCTTCTAGTTGTGGCATGTGGGACGCTGCCTCAGCGTGGTCTGATGAGCGGTGCCACGTCCGGGCCCAGGATTCGAACCAAGGAAACACTGAGCCGCCTGCAGTGGAGCACGCAAACTTAACCACTCGGTCACGGGGCCAGCCCCTACTGGAAATTTTAGAGCAGTGACTGAATGGGGTATCAGGCGAGTATTTCTGGAGTCAGAAAAGGATGGAGCAGGGCATTTGAAAGGAGCTGAGGCCAGTTCAGCAGCAGTTTCCTGTGGGCTTCAGCCTAGGCCTAGCTCTGCTGGATGGGTAAGGGACTTTTCGGAACCAGTCAGGGCTCGGTTGGAAGATAGGGGGCAAGGTGTGTTGGGGTTAGCTGATGAGGGGCATGAGTTCCGGACAGGGGAGCAGCTTCGGGGGCAGGTGCGCGTGTGTGTGCTGCGGGAAGGGGCAGGAGGCTCGTCCACCTTGCTGGAGGACATGAAGGGTGGTGTGCTGAGACCAGCTCCAGGAAGTCCAAGTCCTGGGCCTGCTGGGGTTTGGCCAGCTCCCCAGGCCTTCCATCCCCAGGCCCTGTGGACACATGGCATCTTGGAAAAGGGCCTTCATCTGGGGCGGGGAGGCAGGGAGCCAAGGAGGTATGTTTTCCCCTTCTGGGCAAGAGAATTGTTCATAGTTGAAAGGCAGGAAGTACCTGCACAGCCTCCCCTCCGTCTCAGAGCTACAGGCCGAGGTCACGTGTGCCCACATTTGCACAGAGCCTGACTTTGACATCCATGCACACACAGGCCTGGACCCATTGCACTAGTGCTTCCAGGCCTGCTCCCCCGGCACGAGTCTGGAGCCTAACTGCCTCACCCCTCTCCTGCTATCTGTACCCCAGAGATTCTTCTGTCACCTAGCTGAAGACTGTTGTCTAGACTGGCTTGTCACCTGCCACCTGCATCCTGCCTCCTCAGTTTACTGGAGAAAAGCTCTTGCCCTGTGGCTTCAAGCTGGTAGAGAGGAGTGGAGGGAATCTCCAGGACCCTTGGATAAAGGAGGTCCCAAGACTTGCACCCAGGCTTGCTAAGGCCTTGCTCTGAGGGGGCAGGAGAATGGCTGCCCCTGCTCCCCAGGCCGACGACGGGGCAGGTGCGAGCTGCAGGGGAAAGGAGGCAGAAGAGTCTCTTCCGGCAGCAGGAAGTGGTAACCACCTATGGGGAAATGAGGCTTGTTCCTCCCTTTGGGGTTGAGCAGAAAGGGAACCTTAGCTGAACCCTGCTCTCCCTGCCGCCCTCCCCCACCAAGGGAGCCTAGAGGGAACAACCGCTGAGCTTCTGTTCTCTGATGCCCACCTTCCTTCCTACCATCCTGGGAACTTCCCACCCAGTCTCCAAGCCCCTTGTGCTTATCACTCAGGGCTGTGACTTGGGAAGGGTGGGCCCCATCTGATGTCCTGGGAGTCTGGGAGAAGCAGGTGATCCAGAGGAGTCCAGGGTCTGAAGCGGCTATGGTGTCTCTGCCCACTGGCATTGAGAGCCAACAGCCATGCTGTGAAGGGTACGGTCTGGCAGTGGTGAGCAGATAGCCTTCCGGAGGTGGGGGCGGGTTACGGCAGCCAGAGGGTGCCCGCTTGCTGGGCACCGTGGAGCTCTCACACCGGCCCTGGCTGCGTGGCAGCCGAGCTTAGGGCACAAGACAGCCCAGGTGCGCTCCCAGCGCCGGGCGCGAAGGGGCGGCGGGCTGGCCTGCGGCCAGAGCGAAACCACCCCAGGAGCCCCTCAAGGGAAGTACCGAGCCTGGGCCGCCCAGCCCCGGGAGCCCGCTGGGGGCGGGGCGGGGCGGGGCGGGGCTGGCGCAGGGTGCTGGCTGCAGAGCCCCAGGTCCCAGCGCCCGGCCGGCTCGCGGCCGCGTGGGAGCAGCGGGGCTCGACGGCGCGGCCGCCCGGCCGCCATGGCCACGCACGGGAAGCTGCGCCGGGAGCGGGGGCCGCAGGCAGAGTATGAGACGCAAGTCAAAGGTGAGCGGGCACTGGGCGCTTGCCGCCCGGTTCCCTGCGGAGACCCCGAGGGTTGTGGGAGAGCCCGAAAAGTCCCGCCGCTGGCCCAGGGCCCGCTGCCCTTCCCCAGCGACCTCTGGAGGGGGTTGGGGAAGGGAGCCAGAGCCCCCTGCCCACCCCCTCCCGCCCCTTTGGCCTTAACCATCCGCTGTTCCCCCTTCCTCCCTCCCTCCGTCCCTTCCTGTCTTCCTTTGGTCGCTCTGCCCTTCTTGGTTCTCCCTACACCTCACCCAGGGAGCCTGAGGAGGGAAAGGGGGCACCGGGTGAACTAAGGTGCCCCTCAGAAGTGGCATTCTAGGCAGAGTGAAATCGAACACCTTGACTTTGCTGAGGTGGTCGGGTAGGGGAGTCCGAGTGCCTAAGTGGATGGATTAGTGGTGGCTTTGCCCTAAAACCACTCCAGTCTCTGTAGCTCAGTCCCTTTGCCCTCCCTTGGGCACTGAGGTGGCTCAGAGCTGAGGGCCGCTGTCTCTGCGTCAAGCTGGTGCAGTGAGTCTTGGGCTGAGAGATGCAACAGGGCCAGCTTTGCAGTCTTCTGAGAGTAGACCTCTTTGGATTCTGGTAAACACTGTGCAAATTACATGCAAATCAGCTTTGCAAATTCTTAGTCATGGCTTCTGATGGTCTTATTCAGGGTGTGGTAGCTCTTGCAGAGGAAAGAAGGCAGCATCCAAGCACCAGCAGTTTGGGGCCATAAGGTTTCCTGGTACCTTCAGATGTGTGACCTCATAGATCACTCTCAATTGCTTTGTCTTACCTATGAAGGAAACTTAAGCTCAGAGCGGAGCAGTAAATTTGCTCGTGGTCACACAGCACTACAGCTCCTAGAAGGTAGAATGAAATGACCCTTGAAGTTCCTTTCAACCCAGAGATGCAGGTTCCAACGTAAATATCCAATGCAAGCAATTTACACCAAAGTATGCACGAGTCCTCCAGGGCTGGGAGAGGTGGCCTGCTACCCAGAGCCAGCTTAGGTGACTGTATGCAGGGTGAGCCAGTTCTTCAAACCTTACCTTCGTCGTTTCTCTGATGGCGATAAGGATCCCCATCCTGTATCCCCAAAATGTCATGAGGCTGAAAGACTTTGGAAACTCTTCAGTCAGCAAATACGGGTCAGTTAATTCACACTGGAGAATTGGGGTTTTGAGCAAGTCTGTCTTTAAGACAGTCCTTGCCTGCTCTGGGTCTCCAGCCATTTTAACTTCTGTTCCCCATCCCTTCGCCCCCAAAAAAGAAACTTCCTACCATGCTAGAAAAACAGGATCACTGTCTTGACACCCTAAATTCTGAAAGGTCAGCACAGTCGCGGTTTGGGAGGCCATCTTCTCTTCTGCTCTGCTTGTCAGCAGAAGTGAGACCATATGCCTTGCTCGCAGGAAGTGTTGGTGGGGCCCGAGTCCCTTCCTTTTGACAGATGTTTGTATGCATCTCTTCTGTCCGAGGCCCTGGGCATTCAGTGCTGAGCAAAAGAGAACCAGTCCCTGCCCGCCTACGGCTCCCAGGTCTAGTGGAGGAGACAGAGAGTAAACAACCCATCATGCAGTTCATTTCAATGGTGATGATGACTGCTATAAAGGGAAAGCACGGATGTCAAGAAAAGGGGTGGGAAGAGGGCCAGACCTAGTTTGGGAGGTGGTCAGGGAAGGGTTCCCTGATGATTGCTTCTGAGCTGAGACCTGAGAGCCAGACAGTGACACAGCCTAGAGGCGGGGGGCTGGGCACCAGCTCACTGTGCTCAGATGGTGCTCATTCACAAGTCTCCTACTTGACACCAGCCAGTGCACGTGTCCGCATCCTGACTGAGGTGTGGCTGCACTGAAGAAGAAATGGAACAGTTTGGCGTGCTGGTCCACTCATCACTGTGCAGTTGTGATAGGTCCCCAGGGAACTATTGCTCCGAGAGGGCTGGGCAGGTGCCAGAGAAGGTGAGGTGAACTGGGATAGCAGACCTTTCTAGGAATGAAATGAAATTTAGTTTTATCCAAAAAATGTTACTCTGATTCAATGAAGACTCTCTTGATTGCAAGTGGCTTAGAGCACACTCCACCTGGCCTGTGGAGCTGAGTCAGCACTGGAGCCCAGCCTCGGATGGTATAAGGAGACTCCGGGTCTCTCACTTGCCTCTGCCCTGCTCTGCATTGCTTTCGCTGTCAGGAAGCACCCCCCACCCCCAACATACACACACACACACACACACACACACACACACACGTGTTTTCTTTTACTCAGCTTGACCCCTTGATGAAAAGAGAGTGCTCCAGTGAGAGTGAGGACTCTGGCCCCGGGTCCCATCCTGAGCCCTTCCTGGTGGTGGACGGGGTGGAGGGGCCGAGGGATGGGTTATGCTGAGTCAGGGAGAGGGACCCAGGGGCTGTGAATAAGAAGGGGACAGTCTCCAAAGAGAAATCAGAGAAGATGGCGATGCCAGGCAGGCAGAAGCCACAGAGGCCACCACACACCTTACAGCCCCTGGGAATTCAGTAGTGAGACAGAAATCCAAACAGTACCAGTACCGAGCTGTTCACAGTAGAGTCCTTTCAGACAGCCCCCTCAGGTCCTACACTTTCTCCCTTCCTCCCAGGCTGGGTCTCTGGTCCGAGCCCCTGCTGTCTTTTGCCTGGACTTGTGCCATAGCTGCCAACTGGGCTGGGTGCTTTCCCTCTGTCATCTGACCTCCGCCTTGGCTCCCCATGGCAGCCCGAGGGGGCCTTGAGAGCGAAGCCAGGTCACATCACCCCCGCTGGCCTCTCAGATTCCCCGGCACAGCTTCAGCCACACTGGCCCCAGTAGCCTTCACTGTTCCCTCTACCTGAACACTCTCCCCCTACATGTCTCCACGGCCCCTCTGTCATTTCCTTCAGCTCTCTACTCCAAAGTTGCTTGTTCCTGACTGCCCTCCTCTAAAAGAACCTGTCCCCGTCCCCACCTCCTGCTCTGATCTTGCTTTGCTGTGGTCGCCTTATCAGCACCCCTTGTTCCTGGACATTCTAGTATGTGTCTGTTCCCTCATTCCCATCCTAGCTCTGTGGGGGCAGGCACTCGGTCAGCCCTCTTTGCCACTGTATCTGTGTCTAGAATGTGCCTGGCACAGACTCGGTACAGAATCAACATTCTGCTGAATGAAGAAATCAGTTAATGTCCCTCCCTGGGCACGTGGATGGAGATTAGTGAATGGGTGACCCACTTGCCAGAAACCAAGACAGTGCCTTATTGACCTGGGATCCTCAGTGCCCACTTGGGCACCCAGTGAGTGGCAAAAATGTTTGCAGTAGGTTGCTTAAGCTTGTCATTCAGGCAGTTCTCTGCTTTAGGTCTGTGTGAGGAAAGCGGTGTTGTTGCCAAATCGAGCCAGCAATAAGCTGTCAAAAGCCAGCAGTGTGAGGGCTCTGGGTGTGGTTCTCACTGCCAGGAGGTGGGGGTGGAAGTGCCCTGGGGACAGAAAATGGGGAGTCTGCACTGTGGGGCTGCCGTTGCCCCTGGGGCCGAGGGCAGAGTTCCCAGCCCTGAGGCTGCAAGTTCACTGCAGCCAGTGCATTTATGTGTTTGCAGGGTAGGCTGCCCTACCCGGAGTCCTGGGCACCGGAGGGGCAGGAAGTCTCAGGGGAAGCAACTCGGGGGCTTTCCAGGAACCAGGGAGTGATGGGAAGCCCAAGTGAAAGGCGCCTGGCTGGGGACAGGACAGGATGGGGCTGGGGCTGCTCTAGGTTCCCACCATCACAACCGGCTCCAACCCTCCCGCATCTACCCCACTCCCTCTCACCCCTGGGCATTTGCGTGGCTCTCCCTCCTCCCCGGAACAGCCTTCCCTCCCATTCCTCTTCAGTGGGTTGGGCCTTGCCTGTTCCCTTTAGCCTCAGCCCAGCTGGATGGCTGAGCCCGGAACGTCTTCCAGGAAGCCAGCCTCCTTCCTCCTCCTTGGCCCCAGCCCTCACCCCTGGGGTAGACGGGACCGGGGGCTGTGTCTGCCTCTTGCACCCCCGGGCCCCGCCACCGAGGCCTGAGCCACAGTTCTCCTGTAGAGATGCGCTGGCAGCTGAGCGAGCAGCTGCGTTGCCTGGAGCTGCAGGGCGAGCTGCGGCGGGAGCTGCTGCAGGAGCTGGCTGAGTTCATGCGGCGGCGGGCCGATGTGGAGCTCGAGTACTCCCGCGGCCTGGACAAGCTGGCCGAGCGCTTCTCCGGCCGAGGAGGCCGCCTAGGGGGCAGCAGCCGGGAGCACCAAAGCTTCCGGTAGGTACTGGCTGGCAGGATGGCCGTGGCAGGGCCCAAGGCTCTGCTCCTGGTCTGAGTGCCCCTCTGCCCCCAGGAAGGAGCCGTCCCTCCTGTCGCCCTTGCACTGCTGGGCCGTGTTGCTGCAGCAGACACGGCAGCAGAGCCGGGAGAGTGCGGCCCTCAGCGAGGTACTGGCCGGGCCCTTGGCCCAGCGCTTAAGTCACATCGCTGAGGATGTGGGGCGCATAGTCAAGAAGGTAAGGCCCCTGCCCCGGACACAGGAGGTGTGCACGGCCTTGGGATCGAGCAGGGGCAGCCTGTGGGCGTTCAATCCAGAGGCGTCAGGGCTGGGAGGGCATGGGAGGCCAGGCGGGCATCAGGCAGAAGGGAGCTGGGTGGAACCTTGAGTGCTGAGCTGAGGTGTGGCGGCCAGCAGGAGGGCAGCAGGTGCCACACTGGGGCAGTCCTGTGGTCACACTCCCCCTCCTCCCCAGAGTAAGGATTTGGAACAAGAACTGCAGGAGGAGCTCCTGGAGGTGGTGTCAGAGCTTCAGACGGTGAGGACGGGACAGGGCCCACCCTAACTAGAGGGAGGCCATGCCATCACATCTCCCCATGCCAAGCTCGAGGAGTAGGCTTGGGTGTCCAGGAGAGACCTGGGTTTCAAGGACCGCAGCATGGCCCTCTCTCCCTGCTCTGGGCACAGGGGGGTCGGGCTAAGTGCTCATGTGGGATCGCCTAGCTCTCCGGTCCCAGTCCTGGATGAGCCGGGAGGAGGAGGGGAAGGCTGGCCGTGGCCATGGCCTTCAGCAGGGCTGCCTGGCGTTGGGCCTCCCTGCAGGCCAAGAAGACGTACCAGGTGTACCACACAGAGAGCATGAATGCCGAGGCCAAGCTCCGGGAAGCCGAGCGGCAAGAGGAGAAGCGGGCAGGCCGGAGTGCCACCACGGTCGTCGCCACTACCGCCACCGCCGAAGCAGGGCCCCTCCGCAAGAGCTCCCTCAAGAAGGGAGGGCGGCTGGTGGAGAAGGTGGGCCTGGAGGGCACTGTCTAGCTCTGAAGGTGCTGGCTCCTGGCCTTTGTCCCTGCCGGTCCCCAGTCCTCACTAGCATCTGCTGGGAGGTGGTGCATGGAGGGGGAAGGCAGGGCTAGGGAGGGGAGAGCCGCAGACCCCTGGTGAGGCTGTAAGGGGTGGGCCTGGGCCTGGTCAGCCCTACTGGCTCTGGAGGGCTCCCCAAGCTGGGGTGGTAGACAGAGGGGACAGGAGAACAGTCACTGGGTCTAGGACAGCCCGATGCAGTCTTCCCCGTGCTCCTAGCTGGTCCCCCCCAGCCCAGCTGAGGCAAAGAGCGCTTTCATGCTCCCAAGCCTGGGGACCCTCCACTCACCCATCCCTGCCTCACACAGTGCTGTGAGGTTTCAGAGGGGCGAGAAGACATGTAGGATGGGTGATCTGGTGACATGCAGGGAGAAAGAGCATTTGAGGTGGCTCCTGAAGAGAGGATGGGAAGGCTGAGGCTGGCAGAAATGCCAGAACAGAAGTGCCAAGCTGGGCAGAACTGGAGCGGAACAGGAGTTGCTGGCCCTGGACGGGAGAGTTTGTGTGGGGCAGGGCGGGGTTGGGGAGGATGATAGGACTTCTGGGCTGTGTTGTTTGAGGGGCCTGTGGGACATGGGGCGTAGCTGTCCACATGGGGAGGGGAGAGAGTGTGGGAGGGGATGGGAGTGGGAGTTCCATGGTAGGCCACAGTTGGGGGCTTCCTGGCCAGCAGCGGGGATGACCCTGGGGTGCCTGTATGGTCTCGAGCAGCGTCAGGCCAAGTTCTTGGAGCACAAACTGAAGTGCACGAAGGCGCGCAACGAGTACCTGCTCAGCCTGGCCAGTGTCAATGCTGCTGTCAGCAACTACTACCTGCGTGATGTGTTGGACCTCATGGATGTGAGTGCTGGCTGGGCGGGCCGGGGGCTGGTGCCCAGGGCACTGGGACCCACCCGAGCTGTGTCCTTGCTTCCTCCCCAGTGCTGTGACACAGGGTTCCACTTGGCCCTGGGGCAGGTGCTCCGGAGCTACACAGCTGCTGAGAGCCGTACCCAAGCCTCCCAGATGCAGGGCCTGGGCAGCCTGGAAGAGGCAGTGGAGGCCCTAGATCCTCCAGGGGACAAGGCCAAGGTGCTGGAGGTGCATGCGGTCGCCTTCTGTCCCCCGCTGCGTTTTGACTACCAGCCCCATGACGGGGATGAGGTGAGGGTGACTGCCCCGCCGCTTAATGCCCCAGCCAAGGGCTTTGTGTTGTGTGGTGCTCAGTGCTCAGTGGAAGGGGAGGTGAGGCGAAGCAGTTCCACTTTGCTCTCAGCGGCCTCCAGGCAAATGAGGCTCACTAGAGGTCTCCCACTTGCATTTGAAGCAAGCAAACTTCTGCAGTTCAGGCAGGGAACTCACACCCCTGCCCCCTACAACTACAAACAGCAAAATGATCACCAGTGTGTACAGCTGTCTCCACCAACTCTTCTCGCAATTCTTCTGTATATTTTAGACATTTCACAATACAGACTTGGGGGAAATAAACCTTACAAGCAGTAAAATATAACTAGGCATCTTTTTACTTGCCTCTGAGCTGTTTTTGTCTTTTACCAGTTTGCCCGAATGGGCGTTGCGCATGGACTGGGCTGACAGAGCCTTTAGTTCTTTAATGTGTATTTTGACCAAGGTAATAGTTGAAAAAGTCAGCATCCCTCAAGTCTTATGACAGCACCCAGGAGTTTTCTCACTCCCCCTTTCTGTTCGCGATTCCCACTCCCCAGAAACAGCTGCTTTCCAGTCTGCTCCCTGCTGCTTCTGGTGCTTCCATCCGGGTGTGCACAGAACACAGCAGGCTGCGAGCTGCTTTGCAACTTTCCAAAGCCTCCACCGACTTCCTTCCATGGACCATCAGCCCGCCCCCACCTCCCTGTGACAGTGCTCCCTCCGTGCTGTCCGTGCAGTCCCTCCAGTCCCTATTCTCTTCTGCTGGAGCCCAGGGGTCCTGCTCAGCAGCCCTGCCATGCTCTCCTGCGGCACACCCTCTGGGGCCTGGGGCTTGTATCTTCCTCTTTTTTGGAATTCAAGGTTGAAAATCATTTTCCCTTTAGAATGTTAAAGGCGTTGTTACAAGCGAGGCTGTTAGGATAGTCTCTTTGCCCCTGGTTGTGAAATGTTGTGACGACCTGCCCTGCCCTGCCCTGGGGATCCTTTTTTCTTCACGGTGCTGGGCAACCAGTGGGCAGTGTCAGTGTGGAAAGTTGTGTCCTTCGGTTTGGGGCTCATGTTATTAATAATCCTTTAATAATCTTCTCCCCTTAATTTTCTTTTCTCTCATTTTCAAGAATTCTTGTAATTGGACGCCGGACGTCATGGGTGGATTCTCTAACTTCCTTGTCTTTTCTTTTTCCTATTTCCCATATCTATACCTTTTAATTCTTCTTTCTTTAGCGATTTCTCTAATTATCTCTTCCAACCCCTTCTTGAGTTTTTAAAGAAAATTTATTTTTGATTTTTTAAGTTCTGTTTCCCAGCTTCCCAAACTCCTGTTTAAAATAACCCTTTGTTCTTGTTTCATGGATACAGTATCTTCTCAAATCTTTCTGAAATGTTCGTTTTTGTTTTCTTGACATTTGCTTCTGTTCCCTGCATTTTCTCTGTTTGCTTGCAGTTTTAAAAAGCTCGCTTCACTCTGTGTCTTCCAGCTTAGAGCATCCCTCCTGAGGAGGAGGCGCCAAGAGGGAGACAGGATTCCGTGCCCGTGAGCAGAGCTGGTTGGCAGCAGGATTCCTCACAGGGCGTGAGGCAGGGGCTCAGAGCGCTGCTGCCCAGAGACCAAGGAGGGGGGGCGCGTCTTGCTAAGAGGGTGCTGGAAGGGACTGTAGGACTTGGGCTAGGGCTAGGGGCAGTGGGGGAGGGCTTGGCCCTGGTTTGGATGCTGTCAGGAAGCAGGGGTAACTCTGACTGGGTGTCTTAGCAAATATTATCTAGAAGATGGGGGGTGGGCAGGATGAAGGGAGGCTAAAGCTGCCATCAGTGCATATTAGCCAGGACAGAGGGCAGTTTGGTCTTCTTTGTGGCTTGGATGGAGTTCTTGTCTTCACCCATCATGGTCACAGAGTGGCCTTGTCTGATGTGCTCTGTAACATTCCTCATTTTCAACAGGACAACCCCAAAGCCCAGCTGTGAGCACCTGGCCAGCCTCAGCTGGCGGCTGCTGCTCTGCTCTTTCTCATCAGGAGGGAGTTTTGTCCCCTTCTTCAGCTGTGACTAGTGTCCCTGAGTCCAGAATCCCTCTGACTGATCATTTCCCGAGAGTAAATCTCTAGTTTTCTGCTCCTTGTGTGGGTTTGGGGCTGCGGGTCTTCTAATGTCAGTGTTCCCTCGGGCTAGACTTTCTTATAATTGTGGTAAAAAATACATAAGGTGTACCATTTTAACCATTTTTAAGTGTACAATTCAGTGGCATTAAGTACATTCCCACTGCTGCGCAGCCATCCCCACCATCCATCCCCAGAACTTTCCATCTTCCCAAATGGAAACTGTCCCCAGGAAACACTAACCCCCTGCCCCTCCCCCAGCCCCTGGCACCCCCATCCTCCTTTCTGTCTTTATGAATCTGACTACTCTAGGGACCTCATACAGGTGGAATTATACACTATTCGTTCTCTTGTGTCTGACTTGTTTCATTCAGCATAATGTCCTCAAGGTCCGTCCAGGTTGTAGCACGGATCAGAATGTCCTTCCTTTTAAGACTGAATAACATTCCAGTGTGTGGATGGACCACATTTTGTTCATCCGTTCACCTGTCGATGGGCGCTTGGATTGCTTCCACCTTTTGGCCACTGTGAATCATACTGCTGTGAACACAAGTGTACAAATATCTATTTGAGACCCTGCTTTCCCTCCTTTTGGGGACAGATCCAGAAGTGGAATTGCTGGATTATAGAAGTCTATGTGTAATTTTTTGAGGAACCGTTGTACTGTTTCCTAGATAGACTTTTAACCAGTCCTGGCTTCCATGCCCCCTGCCCCGGGGAGACACTCACTGCCTCGGTCTCCTGAGCGTTCCCAGGTTCAGCTGCGCGCTCTGGCTGGCTTCTGTCTGGGCTCCATCTTCCACAGCCCTGTTGACATCTCTCGCGGGTCGCCATCTCCGCTCTGCCCGGGGTGTCCCTGTGACTTGCACCTGTGTGCTCCCCTTACGGTGGGGCCTACAGGGAGCCTTTAGTCAGCTGTGGATAGATGAAGTCCTCACTCTCACTTTTAACTTGATGTCCGAGTTCCCTGGATGTTTACATGTTCCAAAGTGAGGAATTCCTCACTTCCCAAAGCCACTCTCATTTCGCCACGAGGAACCTACTTGCGCTTGATTCGAGTGAACGGTTTCTCTGCCCTCTCCTCTCCACAGGGGAGGTCTGGCTGGGCCCTTCCTCTTCTGTCTCAGACCCAGCCCTTCTGACCATTCGTTTTTTGATAATAAACTGCTTTATTGAGGTATGATTCACATGCAATACAATTCACTCATTCAAAGTGTACAAGTCGGTGGTTTTTAGTATATTCACAGAGTTGTGTGACCCCCACCACCATCTCATTCCAGAACAGCCAAAAAGAAACCCTGGACCCATTAAGCTGTCACTTTCCCCTCCCCAACCCCTGGCACCCACTGTCCTACTTTCTGTCACTATGGATTTGCCTCTTCTGGACCATTGATGTAAATGGAATTGTACGACAGTGGCCTTTTGTGTCTGGCTCCTTTCACTGAGCAGCACGTCTTCATGATTCACCCGCACAGCAGCAGGGAGCCACTGGGACCTCCTGCCTTCTGTGGCCAACTGACATTCCACCATACGGACGCACCCCATTTGCTTGTCCACTCATCTGTGGACGGACACCTGGGTTGCTTCTAGCACTGGGCGACCATGCCTAGTGCTGCTGTGAGCGTCCGTGCCCAGGGCCCAGTGGGCATGATGTGCTCCTTTTCCTTGCGGAGGCGCCCTCACCCTTCTTTAGAGCCGGGAGTGTTAGGCGTCAGGCCTGGTGGTCCTATACGGCAGCCACTGAGGCAGTGGAAATGTGCCTGGCTCCCTCATGCCCCGGAGACCTCGCAGAGACCTTGGTGCCCACTGCCCAGGCCCTCTCCTATGTCTGAACTCAATGTCCCCAGGCTCGGCCCTCAGCCCCTTGGATACTTCCCTCCACAGGTGGCTGAGATCCAGGTTGAGATGGAGCTTCGGGATGAGATTCTGCCCAGAGCCCAGAATATCCAGAGCCGCCTGGACCGACAGACCATCGAGACAGAGGAGGTATGAGTGGCCCAGGAGATGTGCATGGGGACAGGGACCTGGAGACGTGGAGCCAGGTGCCCATGGTCTCCCCTCCCCCTTCCTTCTGACTTGGACTTCCTGTCCCTCTCCTGTCCACCACTTCTTCCTGCCCTGCTGCTGTCCTCTCCCCAGGTGAACAAGACGCTGAAGGCCACACTGCAGGCCCTGCTGGAGGTGGTGGCGTCGGAAGATGGGGATGTGCTTGACTCCTTCCAGGCCAGCCCCTCCACTGAGTCCCTCAAGTCCACCAGCTCAGATCCGGGTGCTCGGCAGGCCAGCCGGAGACGGGGCCAGCAGCAGGAGACTGAGACCTTCTACATCACGGTGGGGAGAGCTAGCCTGGGGAGGCAGGGCCGGGTCGCAGGGAGGGCCCAGAGCTGGGACTAAAACTTCGGGCTCTTCTTGGGGTTTCCCAGAAGCTGCAGGAGTACCTGAGTGGACGGAGCATCCTTGCCAAGCTGCAGGCCAAGCATGAGAAACTGCAAGAGGCCATTCAGCGAGGTGGGTCCGGCTTCTGGCCCCCTCGGCCCCTTCCTCCCCACCCCCAGGGCCAGGAGCGTCACCTACTCTCAGCTCTCCTCCCTGGGAACCCTAGTCTGCCCAGAGAAGTCGAGTGGCATGCAGGACATGACCCAGCAAGGGTCCTGGCCCCCATCCCACCCTTGGCCTTCAGGCCGAGCCTTTCTCTCTGCGGTGCACTGAGGACCTTCTGGCCCGAGAGGCACACCAATGTTTTCTCCTCCCCAGGTGACAAGGGAGAGCGAGAGGTGTCTTGGTGAGTCTTTCATAAGGGCCGGGTTGTTCCCAGGTGCCGGGCTTCTGCAGGGGTCAAGCTGTGATGTCCCCACCTTCCCTCTCGTTGGGGCCCAGCTCCGCTACTCATTCTTCTGTGGCCTCAATTTCCCACTTTGCCCAGTGGGTTCTGGAATAACTCTCGAGCTCCAGGGCCCTGTTTGGCTGGGCTGGGGGTGGGGCATCCTATTCTCTATGCCCACTCCCCTCAGAGCCAGCTCCTGTTTACCACAGGACCCAGTACACACAGAGAAGATTCCAGAAGAGCCGCCTCCCCCGCCCCACCTCCCAGTATAACCAGAAACTCTTCGGGGGAGACATGGAGAAGTTTATTCAGGTACTCGCTTTGCCTCACACTCCAGCTGAGGGCAGGCCCTCCCCCTATATTCTGGTCTCTCGCCAGCCCGGCTGCCTGTGACTCCAGTGTTCCCCGTTGCCAGCCACTGGTTTAACTGTCCCTTCCTGGCTGGGCCTTTGCCAGGCCTCCACTCATGGAAGGGAGTGTCCTTAGCTAGTACCAGACATCTACAGAAAGCCTCTGGTGGGAGCATTTTTCAGGGTGAGAAATGAGCTTCTGGCCAGCATGGTACTGGGAGTCCTAGAGAGTGAAATAAGGGAAAGAAGAAAGATCAGAAAAGAAGAAATACCACTATTATTTGCAATGATGTGATTATATACGTAAACATTCAAACGAATCAACAGTCTATTTAAATGAACTTGCAGTGTGACTTGATTCGAGGTCAGCCTACAGAGTTCGATTGCGTTTTCACATGCCAGCAATAAACGGTCAGCAAATAACATGTCAGGGTCTCCCTAAACCTGCACCAGGGATACCAGACCCCCGGGGGGAGCTGAGGAGCCGTGGGCTGGTGGCCTCCTTGGTTGCCCACAATCGTCATGCCTTGTTAAGAGAAAGTAAAAGCGAGCGAATGTTGAGGTGGGACGTGACATGTCCACAGTGGAGTGAACACCTTTCTGTCCCCAGAGCTCTGGCCAACCCGTGCCCCTGGTGGTGGAGAGCTGTGTTCGCTTCATTAATCTCAATGGTAAGCAAGACCCCGGCCCTCCTGCCTCTGGCCTGGCACCCAGCACCCGGCAGCGGTCCCAGAGGGGATGGGGAGGGGACTCCGCCCACTGGCTCTTCGTCCTCTCTCAGGCCTGCAGCACGAGGGCATCTTCCGGGTGTCTGGTGCCCAGCCCCGGGTCTCGGAAATCCGCGACGCTTTCGAGAGAGGTGGGACTGGCCGGGCCGGGCGGGGGTGGAGGGCTCCCTAGAGCCCATGTGATCAAACTTCTCGCCCTGCGTGTCGCCCTCAGGGGAGGACCCACTAGTGGAAGGCTGCACAGCCCACGACCTGGACTCGGTGGCAGGGGTGCTGAAGCTCTACTTCCGGAGCCTGGATCCCCCGCTCTTCCCCCCGGACCTGTTTGGAGAGCTGCTGGCTTCTGCGGGTGAGGCCAGGGCCTGAGGCCAGCTGGGTGGGAGGGGCTGCTTCACTGTGACCTCGGCCACACTCACCCACTTCTCTCCGGGGTGGCGGCCTTGGCATAGAGCTGGAGGCCGTGGCAGAGCGAGTGGAGCACGTGAGCCGCCTCCTGGCCCGGCTGCCTGGATCGGTGCTGGTGGTCCTGCGCTACCTCTTCACCTTTCTCAACCAGTGAGTGCTTCTTGGGGGGCGAGGTGGCCAAGGGGTAGCCCCACCCAGCTGACAATGGGGGTGCAGAGGACACTAGAGCTCCTTGCCTGTGACCTGTGTGTGCTTCCAGCCTGGCCCAGTACAGCGATGAGAACATGATGGACCCCTACAACCTGGCCGTGTGCTTTGGGCCGACGCTGCTACCCGTGCCTGCTGGGCAGGACCCAGTAGCCTTGCAGGGTCGGGTGAACCAGCTGGTGCAGACGCTCATCGTGCAGCCTGCGCGGGTTTTCCCGCCCCTGAGTCTGCTGCCAGGGCCTGTCTACGAGAAGTGCATGGCCCCGCCTTCTGCCAGCTGCCTGGGGTACACTCTTTGTGCTGCCTGGGGTGGAGGGTCCAGCGGAGGGGAGCCCCCTCATCTGTTCATCTGTCTCACTCTGCTCTGAACCTTAGGGACACCCAGCTGGAGGGCCTGGCAGGGGAGAACGAGCCGGAGATGGAAGCTGGGACCCCAGCCCAGGAGGATGGTGAGGGCGGCAGAGAGGAGGGCCCCGCCCTGTCCCTGCCCCTGGGTGCCCACTCCACCCCCCCCTACTCGGACCTTCTCTTCTCCCTAGACCTGGAAGGGGTTGTGGAGGCCGTGGCCTGCTTTGCCTACACTGGCCGCACAGCCCAGGAGCTGACCTTCCAGCGTGGAGATGTGCTGCGGCTGCACGAGCGGGCCTCGGGGGACTGGTGGCGGGGCGAGCACGCCGGTGCCCGGGGACTCATCCCACACAAATATATCACGCTGCCCGCGGGGTGAGCGAGCGGCACAACCCCTCCAACCCCCAACCCTGCTTCCCTTTCACCTGGGTTTCTGGCCCTTCCCCCGCCCGAGTCCCGGCTTCCATAAGCCTTTCCGACCACTTGTGGCCGACACTGAGCCCGCTGGCCCCAGAGCCTGTGCCAGAAAGAGCACTCTAGACAGGCTATCTTTCTAACCCCAGAGCAGAGAAGCCTACGGCGGGCCAGGGGCTGCAGGCTTCAGGGGAGCCAGTGAGCAGTCCAGAAGGCCTCCTGGCTGCGGAGTTCATCCATCGGTGAGCAAGGGGAAAGCGGCCCTCGGGAAGACCTCTTTTGGTGGCCCCAATTGCCCACCCTGGCCAGGCCGGAGGGGGCTGGGGTCAGGCTTTCCCAGCTGGAGAGGGGCCCAGTGGGGAGAGAGTTGTCCAGGTGAGGGACACCAAAGGAGGACAGAATGGACCCACTGGACCAGCTTCCCTGTTCCTTTTCCCTTGGCCACGCCCTGGGTTTGGGAGGAGCCACTGCCAGGTTAGCACAGGAGCTTCCCAAGGAGCCCCCTCCAGGCTCACTGTCTGTACCCTGCAGGCCAGAGCCGTGCACCCTACCCCAGGCCCCTCTGGGCATACCCGGGGACCCCTCTGGGCACAGACGGCACTACTTGGTCCCAGCCTCCCCAGAGCGACACGTGGAGGTGGATAAGGTGAGGCGGGGGGGGCACCTCTTCTGGGAACTCTCTGCCTCCCCTCATGAACCAAACTCTTCCCTCCCAAGGTTGGAGCCAGCCCAGGGTTGCGGGGGGGCGGGGGGGGGGTAGGCCTGCAAGGGTGTGAGTGCCGGGGGGAAGGACGGGCCCAGAGGCTGGGTCAAGGGGGACGTGGGGGCTCACGCATTTGGGTTTCATGTCTGATTCTTGAGCGGGAAGTTTCGAGTGGTGTGGGTGAGGGGTTCCCGGACAGACTTCAGGGCTGGGGTCTAGAGCCAGGCTAGGTGACGTGGCAGGCACTTGGCGGGCCAGGGAGGATGAAAGGGACAGATGGAAGAGAGACTGGAGTGGGTGGCTGACTGGGGAGCCAGATGGGGCAGTGGTTCTCGCAGAGGGAGAGAGTGGGTACTGGACGCAGCCCCTGCGAGGGGTGCAGCCTAGGGAGCCCCGGCTCCCTGCTCTGTCCGATGGGCCCAGCGCACCCACCTGCCAACCCCCAGTGAGCACCACTGGGCTGATGAAAGCCCTGGGAACAGTCTGAGCTTGAGGAGAGACGGGGAGGGAGCACGCAGTGTGCCGGGTGTGCCCCAAAGGCCAGGCTTAGGAGCCCGGGGACAGGGGGGTGAGCTGGGCCACACAGACTTGACGGCCAGAGGAGCAGGAGCCAGGCGGTGGGGGCGGGGCAGGGCAGCCGGGAGACCCCAGGGGAGGCAGGCAGCAGGTGGGGCTGGGTGGGGGGTAGGTGCACTCTGACCTGGGCGTCCCCAGCACGCTGGTGGTCCCCAAGGCCCCCAAGGTAGGGGGTTGGGGTGTGGAGTGGTTATGATCTCAGCCAGAGAGAGAGAGGGCGTGACAAGAGGGGAGGCCCGTGGCCCAGCCAGAGGGGCCCCGACTTTAGGGCTGGGCTAAGGATTGCTGTCTCCAGAGGAGGCTGTGACAGCCACTCCAAAAGTGGCAGGAGGAGGAGCCAGCCCCGTGGTGTAGTGATTAACTTTGTGCACTACGCTTCGGCAGCCCAGGGTTCGCCGGTTCACATCCCTGGGGCGGACCTACTCACCACCCATCAAACCATGCTGTGGCAGCGTCCCATATACAAAATAGGGGAAGACTGGCACAGATGTTTAGCTCAGCGACTGTCTTGCTCACCTGAAAAAAAGTGGCAGGAGGGAAATTGGGCAAAGGAGGAGGGACAGCAGTTGTGGGGGCCATGGAGAGGGGGTGGCCAAGGATTGTTTTTGGAGTGGGGAGAGTTCTGGTGGAGGCTTGAGCATCAGAGGGTGGGAGAGCCTCACTCCTGGGTCAGTTGGCAACACACTGACCTGGGAGTGGTGGGAGTGGATGGACAGGTGGGGGACATTCTCACCAGATGCCCTCCCTTTCTCTCCTCTCTGCCAGGCCGTGGCACAGACCATGGACTCCGTGTTTAAGGAGCTCTTGGGAAAGACCTCTGTCCGTCAGGGCCTCGGGACAGGGTCCACCAACTCCCCCAGCCCCGGGCCCCGTAGCCCGAAGCCTCCAGCCTCCAGCCGCCTCGGCAAGAACAAAGGCTTCTCCCGTGGCCCTGGGGCCCCCGCCTCACCCTCTGCATCCCATCCCCAGGGCCTGGACTCACCCCTCAAGCCGCACTGAGGTGCTGCTGGCTCCTTCACAGGCCCTGCCCTACCCTAGGCGGCCACGGGTGAGACCGGCCGCCCTCCCCAGGCCCTTTGCTTCTCCCTGGCCCTGTCCAGCAAGTGCTAAACACCTGCTCTTGACTCTTTGCAGAGAGGACCATGTGGCTGTCCAAACATGCCCCGGCCTGCCCCCAGCCCTGGCTTAGGCCCCTTGGGGAGGCAGCTGAGGAAGGAGGCTGGGGATAAGCCCCTCCCTGGCTTTGCTGTGAGGGCTCTTCAGTGGCTGTTGGGTGGCAGGTGCCCTTGCACAGATAAGCAGGCCCACCAGTGCCCAGGCCTGTCTCTGCCTCAGCTGAGGGTTCGAGCATGGTGGGGTTGGCAGGTGTTGGCAGCCATTCATAAAGACCTGTGCATTGACTTCCCTGTGTGAGCCAGTTCTCTGTATTAGGGGGCTGGGCAGGTGGGTACAGGGCCAGCCCATAGCGCCCCAACTGCTCCAGGACAGATGCCAGGGCAATCAGCAAGAGGCAGCAAGTTGGGCTACTGGAACACCTTCCACCAGGGGTCCCTTGGCACAGAGCTCTCCACGACAGGGCTGTGTGGGTTGCGGACTTGCATCTTTGAAGGCTCAGTCGCCTGCCTCACGGGTTCCAGAGCTGTGCATGTGTCTGTGGGTGTGGGGGTGTGTGTGTGGGGTGGGGGGTCTGAGAGTGTCTTTCCACTGTTACCCTGATCCAAGGAGACTCTCGGATAGAAAATGAGCTACAACTTTTATCAGGGAGAGAGTGAGAAGGGAGGGCAGAGGGGGACTAGAGGCAGAGAAAGGAAGGTCCCCTGGCCCCGCCCCTTTCCTTCCTCCTGGCGCCCCCCACCCCCACCCTGGACCTCTTGGGCAGGCACTGGCTGGGGTGGAAGCTACGTGCCACCCTCAGACTCTGCAGCCCCTCCCCACACCTGGCACCAAGGAGCTGACCTCTGGGGCCCCTCACAATCCCGGAGCCAATTCCCAATCGGCCCCCCTCCCAGTAGCCCCTAGGGCCAGCCTCAGGCAGGCAGCTGAACTTGGTAGAGCCTCTGGAAGGAAGGCGCCCCCTGGCTTCTCAGGAGGAAGTGTCCTTGGCCAGGAAGGAGCTGGCAGTGGCACAGGACTCATCTTGGGGCCCTGGGCTGGGTGGGGCACGCCTCCGGGCCCAGCAGAGCAGGCTGCGCAGCTCTGAGGAGACGCTGCTACTGAAGGAGGCGTAGATCCAGGGGTTGGTGCAGCTGTTGAGGCTGGCTAGCAACATGAGCAGCACGAAAGGGGGCCCTGTGGGAGTGGAGGAGTCCGGGCTGGGGCTGAGGGTGCCTGGGCAGGGGCGCGACTCCCCACCCCTCTGTGCCTGCTAGGGGCTAGCATGCGTGTGCTCGTGAGCCCACAGCTAGATGTGTGTGTGTAGGGGGGAGTAGAGGTGTGTGTGCAACCAAGACCCGTGCCCCACCCCCCCGCCCACCGTGCCCCTAGCCACAGTCACACCCACCTTCCCGAGGTGCCTCTGGGTCCCACGCTGCCCACAGCTGCACGAGGAAGAAGGGCGCCCAGCACAGCACATAGACAATCACAATCACCAGCGTCATCCTCACGGTCTTGGCCACGGCTGCTGACACCCGGGCTCCCTCTCTGGGACTGCCTCTCCGGTGCCCTCCGCGGTGCCCCCCAGCCCTCTCTGCCGGCCCTGGCACCAGGCTCGCATGAATCTCCCGGAAGATGAGCACCTGGCAGGCGGTGATGCCCAGGGCTGGTGCCACAAACACCATTAGGGCGATCCAAGTGACATAGGCACGGAGGCCCCAGGGCTCGGCAAAGTGGGCCCAACAGTCGAAGACCCCGCTGCCGTCTCCCACGTCACGCTGGGCGAAGATGAAGAGCTGGGGCAGGCTGAGAAGAAGCGAGAAGGCCCAGGCCACCAGTACAGGCCGGTTCCAGCGAGCTCCACCTCCGTGGCGGTATGCCAGCATGGGGTGGCAGATGGCGCGGTGACGGTCCAGCGTCATGGCCAGGATCATGTAGGAGGAGGCATACATGCCCACCATCTGCAGGTACTTGACTGCCCGGCACAGGGCATCAGGCCCACGGAAGCGATCGGTGGCATCCCAGGCCAGCTGGGGCAGCACTTGGAACAGAGCCACGGCCAGGTCAGCCAAGCATAAGTGGACGATGAAGACGTGCATGGGTGCCCAGTGGCCCCGCCGGCCCCGCCGCACTAGAGCTCCCAGCACCAAGCCATTGCTCAGGGCCACAGCCACAAAGACCGTGGAGAGCAGGGCCAGCTCTGCCTGGGCTAGCAGCGGATCCCGGGTGTCCAGTGCCTCCTCCTCGCTGCTGTTGCCAGGTGGGGTGGGTCGAGAGGGGGGCTGGAGCACAGCTGGGCAGGGGTGGAGGGAGAGGGCCAAATTAGGGAGTGTGCTCTACAGGGGCCCCGGGCCCAAGGAGGTTCCAACTGGACAGGCAGAGCTGGTGGCCTGGGCAGCCCGTCAACCTGGGCCTCCTGCTTCCCTCCCACCTCCCACTTCCTGGCTCTCATTCTTCCAGCAGAGCACACACCATCCCCCACGCCTCATGTGGTGGGGCGGTAAGGGTAGCCCCAGCCCCCATTGAGTATGTAGGGCTATGCTCTCTCTTCCCGCCAATGGCAGCCTGGAGAGGAGGATTTAGGCGGTCTGTGCAAGAGGGGCTTCTTGGCTTCGTCCAACCCCACTCAGTCCACCCAGCTCATCCCGGTGGGGGGATGGGTGGAGGATGTGTAGGGGCCTGGTGGCTGGAAGCTGGAAGCTTACCGGAGGTGGTGCGCGTTCTGAGCATGATGAGGCCGGGGCAGGTGTCCTGAGTGCCTGGAGGAGACAGGGTGGTGAGGTCAGCTTCCTGTTCAAGGGGCTGGCCTGGCTGCCCAGAGTCTCTGGATAGGGGTCCTTAGAGAGGTGCTAGGGTGGCCAGGTCCCTGTCTGTGTGCGTGGTGGGCTGAGGGTCCAGCCTGTGCATGCAACTGCATGTGTGCATGCGTGCCAGTGATCGGGCACTGAGGGTGCACCTTTAGCTCCATCAAGGTTAGTGCGGTCTGGCCCCACTGAACCAGACATGGACCTTTGGGCACTGCTACGCTCCTTCCCAGGACTGGGCAGGGGAAAACAGAGAGAGGGACAGTCAGACAGATGGATGAACCAAGCCTAGGACCCACCTAGGCAGCCCACGAGGGCTGAGGCAAACATACGACCCCCCTGCCCTGACAGAGGTCAAGAGAAGTGGCCATAGGAGGGCTGGGGACCAGGCGGGAGGGGCCAGCGTGCCCCCGCAGCCCCTCACAGCACCTTACCTGGCCAGGCTCCCGGGATCCTGGGCGGGCAGCTGTGTGAGAAGGTGGCCCAGGAGCTCAGATCTGCTCTCCACCGCCCGCCCCGCCCCAACCCAGCCTCTGGGAGGGACCTACCCAGGAGGGGACTTCCTCCCCCACCCCTCCCCCCACGCCTCCCAGGGCCTCCTGCTTGGGGCACCGGAAAATAAGCTCCTGGCCTCCTCTGCTTCCTTACCTGGCCGCGGCCCCCCCAGGTCAGTCCCCAGGACTCCTTTCCCCCCACTCTTGAGCACCTTGAGCCCTCCTCGGCTGGCCCAGCTGTGCCCACCACACCGGCTATCCTTCCCCCACTCCCCGCAGAAGGCCCACCTTGCTAGAAGGTCGGCTCTGGCCGGGCTCTGGGAGACCACTTAGTTCAAGTGTCCGTTTTATTAATGAGGAAGCTGAGGCCAGAGAGGAGTGGGACTGCCTCAGGATCACACAGCTTTTTCGTGGCAAAGCTTGACTTCTCTTTCCCAAGTCGGGCTCCTTCTGTCCCTCTTTGGGCCTAGGCGAGGGAAGCAGGGAGAGCTCACAGAGTCCCCACCGCAGAGAGGGATGGCCTCTCCCAGGCCTATGAAGGCCCCTCCCCCTCCTCAATTTGGGCCTCATGGAGATGAGGGACAGAAGGGAGGGGGTGGGGCGGGGTCAAGCCAGGCTTAAGGTGTCCTGTGAGATGCAGCTTCCTCCCTAAGGCCCTGTGGGAGCCAGGGAGATCACGACCCTCTTCCTCCTCCCCCACCTGCAGCTACCTGTCCTAGGAGGAGGGGGCATGTGGGCTGGCAGAGATGGCACATTCCAGCTCTCGCGCTCTCTCTCTCTTATACACACACACACAGACACCTTCATTTACGTGAAACAGCCACATGCCCACAAAGGCACACACACTCGACACAGACAGATACACACTCACATCCTGAACACTGTGTGGAGGCCCTGAGAGAGGAGCTCCCTGGCTGGGCTGCAGGGCCGAATCCTCTCTCCTCTTCCCTCTCAGGCTCCAGGACCCCTCCTCCCTCGAGCCCATCCTTCCTCCCATCCCTGAGCCCTTTCTCCACCTCTTCCCTGCTCTGCCACAGGGGCTGGCCTGGCCCAGCCCAAGGCAGAAGCCTGCACACTGCCTGGGGCCAGGCTCTAGGCCAGGATTGGCCTTTTTCTTCTGTTTTTCTGTCTTCTGTGGTGACCTGCACTGACCAGGCCCAAGTACAGCCAAGGCCAAGGCCTCGGCCTCCTCTTTCTGGCCGGAGAACCTGGTGGCGCCTCAGCCCCTCTCAGCCACTGACAGGGCAGCAGGGGACATGGGGGTGAGTGTCTTACACCCCTACATACCACACACACAGCACACATACTACACCCACATGTGCCGCACATAGAGCACACACACAACACCCAGTACACACATGCACACGGCTCACACACACACCCCATACCCCACCACACTGCACATGCATATTTATTGTTTTTTGCAGAACCATTAGGAAATAGGTTGCAGAATGCTGCCATCACAGGTCCGAACACTTCCACTGCACCCCCTAAGGACAAGAAGCTCCTCACTTTCTGCCCTGTAGCCACACTACCGTTATTAACCGAGCAGCACAGAAATCACTTGCTATAGGAGCTCCTGGGACTGGCTGAGGAAGTGAGGCCAGCCTTGTGCGGTAAACGGGCAATCATCTCCTTATGGGTTTCTCTGCCCAGACCTAAATGAGGCCGTGCAGGGCTGGATCCCCGCGGAGTGCTGGCACAGGTTGGGGCCCCTGAGTCATGAGGCCAGGCCCACAGCCGCCTCTCTGCTCCCTGCATTCCTGGTTTCCTGTTGTTGAGCCCAGGGAAAAGCCTTGGAGAAGGCCTCCCCTCTGCAGTTTTCTCTGGGCTCTAAGAAGCAAGGGGAGGGCTTTGTGTCCACACCAAAGCCAGGACGTAAGGGGAAGTCGTGCATGCAGCTCCCCTGCTCAGCGGGAACGTGTGCTGGGGGCCTCCGGAGGAGCAGAGAGCTGCCGGGGAAGAGGACTGCCAGGGAGCCTCTGGCTCCTCAGCAGGGAGCCGGTGGTGCGTGTGCAGGTGCTGCATGGGTGCCATGCCAGGGCAGAGGCCGGGCCAGGCCGGGCCAATCCCACTGCCTGCAGCAAGTTGCTGATCAGAGGCCGGAGGCTCTGGGCAGGCCTCTGCCCCAGTCACCCGACAGGGGCCTAGAAAGATGGGGCTGGGAAGCAGTTCATGAGAAGAAAGGCCGACTGGCTTCTTCACCGTCAGGGCCATGTAAGCTGGCAGAGATAGCACTGGGCTGCCCAGAAGCCCCTGCCCTCGGCAGTATGAACTAAGAGCCGAGCACCTACCTAGAGGGGGTGCGCTGCCCTCCCTCCTTGGGCTGCACAGATGGCCCTGGGCCTGCCTCCCTGAGACAGGCAGATGGGTGAGGGGCCCTGGAGAGGCGAGAGAAGAAAGGATCCCTGAGAAGTGTTTGAGGAGGTGGCCGAATAGGGCCCATGCTCATCACAGGGAGCACTGGGAAGCTGGTTCTGGAAGGCTGGAGAAGGGGTTGGCCATGGGGCTGGCGAGTTAGCCTCAGTGGGCCTCAGGCCCGGGGCTGGGACTGAGCAGACACTCTCCGCATCTCCCATCCCCTCAGCGCAGCCCCGTCTGCGCCCCCCACCGAGCTCCCTCTAAGATTACATTTGCAGAAAGGGTTCTGTGGGTTGCCAAGGTGTGGGTCTGTGTCTCCCCCAGCCCAGGGTCCAAGCAGAAGAGGACAGGAGGCCCCAGGATGTGGAGGGCACAGACCATCCCAGGTGCCAGCCACCTGGGCAGGGGATCAGAGCTGGCAGGACTCCAGATCGCCCTGTCCTGCTCTATCAACGGCTCCCGGCAAACAGAACCCTTTGCTCACAAACAGCAAGTGCTGCTGGTGCTGCGCTGTGGGTGTGGAGGTGGAAGGACCTGGGCACTGCCCTGAGGAGCACACAGTCCTTTGCCAAGAGGAGTGGGGGCAGGGAGGCTAGAAGAGGCTGTTGCCATCACTCAGAAGAGAAAAGGCGGGACCTAATTAATGCCACCAGGCAGTGGGGGTGGAGAGAAAAGGCATTTCATGGACTCTGGATAGACCCTTGAAGGACATTTCAGCGATGAAAGAGAAAGAGGAGCCAGCCAAGGACCCGGAGAGGACTGATTAAAAAGCTGGGAGAAGAATCAGGAAAGCATGGGCTCACAGGCTGTGAGGAGAGACAGATGCCCCAAAGGAAGGAAGGACGCCAGTAAAGCTGCTGAGAGGCCACGCCCTGGGAGGCAGAGAGGCGCCCCAACTGGGTGTCCCTGAGGATGGGATGCAATGCAGGTGGGGGAGCCCGCGCAGCAGCGGCAGAAGGAAGGAGCTCCCACCAACCCGAATGAGAGTAAGGAGCAGGAGGAGGGGAGGCCTTTGTGAATCAAATGCTTAGAGGCTCCCATGGGGTGGAAGAGCATTGGGTCAGAGGATGGGATCCAAAGGGGAAAAATAAATTTAATAAAACCACGTGCGTGCGTGTGAGTGTGTGCTGGGACATGCATGGGCCAATGACGACAGGAAGACAGGGTGTCCACTTACCTGAGGTCCAAATTAAAGTGAATAGTAATTTTGAAAGTTAGATAGAGCCTGTTTGCGAGTTTCGGGAGGGAGGAAGAATGGTACTTGATGGATTAGGAGCCCTGTGGGCTGGGAGGGACAGGGTCCCCAGCAGGCGCTGGGGGGCACCCCTCTCCTGGGCTGAGGAGCTGGGGGGTAGAAGGCAGGTGAGCAGTTGAGGGCTGTGCCCCCAGATGGCCATGAAGTTCTCATCTGAGGGGAAGGCAGTCCAGCAGGAGGCGTCTCCGTTTTGGTCGGAGTTATACAGGCATGTGGTTTAAAGTGGCAGATTGTTCCGAGGCTGAGGCTTGTAACAAAGAGCGGCAGCCGCCCCTCCCCATTTCCCCTTCCCAGAGGCGCCCGATTGTGGCTCCTTCCAAGGGCTCTCTGAGTAAGCTCCTCCGTCTTGCTCAGAAGTGAACCTCTAGTCCTCTTTCACCACTGCCACCACCACACCCGCTTCTTCCTCCGCCTGCTCCCCTTCCATTATGGCTGCATCTAGAGCCACCTCATCAGTGTTCAGTGCCTCAACTGTTCTGGCCGACATGGCCCAGGCAGCGATTTCTCTCCTTGTCCCGAATGACTTTTTAAAAGTAGCTTTATTGAGGTATAATTAGTATACAATAAAACTCACAAATTGTTCAACGAGACTTGACGTATGTACAGTCATGTAATCACCACCATAATCATGACATAAAACATTTCCATCACTCCAGAAAGTTCTCTCATGGCCCTTTACAATCTCCTTCCCCCACCTGGAACCTGGCAACCATGATCTTTCTATCACTATATATTGGTCTTTTCTAGGATTTTATTTTATTTCATTTTTTTGAGGAAGATTAGCCCTGAGCTAACATCTGCTGCCAGTCCTCCTCTTTTTGCTGAGGAAGACTGGCCCTGAGCTAACATTGTGCCCATCTTCCTCTACTTTCTATGTGGGACGCCAGCCACAGCACGGCTTTTGCCAGGCGGTGCCATGTCCGCACCTGGGATGCGAACCAGCGAACCCTGGGCCACTGAAGCAGAAGGTGTGCACTTAACCACTGTGTCCCCAGGCCAGCCCCTAGAATTTTATAAAAATAGAATCATAAAGTATGTCGTATTTTGTGTCTGGCTGCTTTCACTCAGCAGAATGCCTTTGAGGTCCTCCCTGTTGCTGTGCGTATCAGGAGTTCCTCTTCTGTGCTGAGTAGAGTTCCGAGGTGTGGACGGACCACAGATCATTTATTCCATTACCACTTGATGGACACATGGGTTGTTTACAGTTTGAAGCTGTTATAAATGAGACTGCTCTGAACACGAGTACAAGCCTTTGTGTGCACGTGTTGTCACTTCTCTAGAGTAAATCCTCAGCAGCGTATGGGTCACGTGAGGGTGTAGCGTTTCAGTTGATGAGAAACTGGCAGGTTGTTTCCACGTTCATCATACCGTTTCCCACCAGCAGCGTATGATGTGACAGTTCCATTTGCTCTGCATCTTAGCCAGCACTTGCTATGATCAGTCTGTAATTTTTTTTAGCCTCTTTAATTTTAACTATTTTAGTGGTATTTTACTGGGGTTTTATTTTGCACTTTCCTTATGACTAATGATGGTAAGAATCTTTTCATATACTTATTTGCCATTTGTATATATTCTCTGGTGAATTATCTAGTCAAACCTTTTGTCAATTTTTAGGAGTTTTCTCAATTATTGAGTTGTAAGAGTTTTTTCATTTTTAATATATTTTGGGTACAAGTCCTTTAACAGATATGGTTTGCAAATATTTTCTCCCAGTATGTGGCTTGCCTTTTCATTTTACTAATGATGTCTTTTAAAAAGCAAACTTTTAAAATTTTGATGAAGTCTAATTTATCCATTTTTTTCTTCCGAAGTTCGGGTTTTTTGTGTCCTATCTAAAAAAGTCTTTGCCGGGGCCGGCCCCGTGGCCAAGTGTTTAAGTTCGCATGCTCCGCTCCGGCAGCCCAGGGTTTCACCGGTTCGGATCCTGAGGGCGGACATGGCGCCGCTCATCAGGCCATGCTGAGGCGGCATCCCACGTGCCACAACTAGAAGGACCCACAACTAAAAATATACAACTATGTACAGGGGGGCTTTGGGGAGAAAAAGGAAAAAAATAAAATCTTTAAAAAATAAAAAGTCTTTGTCTAGGGGACCGGCCCCGGGGCATAGTGGTTAAGTTCCCGTGCTACACTTCGGCGGCCCGGGTTTGCCAGTTCAGATTCTGGGTGCGGACCTGCACACAGCTCATCAACCCATGCTGCAGCGGAGTCCCACATACAAGAACTGGAATGACCTACAACTAGAATATACAACTAGGTACTGGGGTTTTAGGGAGAAAGAAAAAAAAAGAGGAAGATTGCCAGCAGACGTTAGCTCCAGGCCAATCTTCCTCACCAAAAATAAATACATAAATAAAAATAAAAAGGCTTTGCCTAATCCAATGTCACAGAGATATTCTCCAATGATTTCTTCTAGAAGGTTTATATTTCTAGCTCTTACATTGAGGTCCGTGAGTCGCTTGGAGTTGAGTTTTGTGCGTGGCATGAGGTAAAGGTCCAGGCTCATCCTTTTGCAGGCGGATGTCCAGTTGTTCCAGCACCATTTGTTCAAAAGACTGTCCCTTCCTCATTGAATTGCCTTGACACCTTTGCCGCAAATTGATCGTGTGTGTGTGGGAGGGTCTATTTCTGGACCCTCGATTCTGTTCCACTGATCTGTATGCCCATCCTCCTATCAGTGCTGCACTGTCTGTATTACTGTAGATTTGTAGTAAGTCTTGAAATCAGACGGTATAAATCAACTTTGTTCTTTCTCAAAATCATTTTGACGAGTCTAGATAATTTGCATTTCCGTGTAAATTTTAAAATCAGTGTGTCAGCTTCCACCAAAAAAAAAAAAAGGTTTTACAGATATATTAGTAAGTTATCCCTAAGTGTTTCATGCTTTTGGTGCTATTGTAAATGGTACTTTGAAATGTCAATTTCTGATGGTCTGTTGCTAGGATGTAGAAATATGATTGATTTTTGCATATTGACCATCCTTCAACCTTGCTAAACTCACTATTGGTTCTGCTGGTTTTTGTAGATTTCTTAGGATATTTTTTTTACGTAGACGATCATGTCATCTCTGAATAAGGACACTTTTCTTTTTTCCTCTATAATCTACACGCCGTTTATCCCTCTTTCCTGCCTTGCTGCACTAGCTAGACACTCCAGTGCAAAGATGTGTCCAGGCTCTGAGAGCACCCTTGCCTTCTTCCTGATCGTCAGGGGAAGGCAGGCAGCAGCCACTAACTGTGACAGGAGCTGTGGGTTTTTAACAGACGTCCTTTATCAAGCTACTTTACGGAGAGCTTCTATCACGAGTAGTGTTGAATTTTGTTAAATGTTTTTTCTGCATCTATTGAGATGATCATGTGGTTTTTCTTTGTTGTTGTCGCTCTGTTAATAGGGTTAATGACATGGAGTGGTTTTCAACTGTCAAAGCAAACTGGCATTCCTGGGAGGAATCCTACTTGGTCACGATGTCTTCTCTTTTTATACATTGCTGGATTTGATTTGCTAACATTTTGGTTAGTATTTTTACATCATGTGTGTTCATGAGGGATACTGGTCTGTAGTTTCCTCTTTGTGTAATGTCTTTGGGTTTGGTACGAGAGTAGTGCTTACCTTGTAAAAGGAGTTGGGAAGTGTTCTCTCCTCTTCTATTATCTGGAAGAGTTTGTGTAAAATTGGTGTTTATTTTTCCATAACGTTTGGTAGAATTCACCAGTGAAGCCATATAAGCTTGGAGTTTTCTTTGTGGGAATGTTTTTAGCTACAAACTCAATTCCTTTATTAGATATAGGGTTGTTCCGGTTATCTATTTCTTCCTGAATGAACTTGGATAGTTTGTATCTTTCACGGAATTTGTCCATTTCATCTAGGTCATCGAATGTATTGGCATAAGTTTTTCACAATATTCCCGTATTATCCTTTTAATGTTTCTAAGATCTGCAGTGGTGCCCTCTCTTTCATTATGTTTTTAAGGTACATATTTAACTTTATAAGAAACTTCAAAACTGTTTTCCAAAGTAGTTGTAACATTTTACTCTCCCACCAGCAATGGAGGAGAGTTCTGTTTGCTCCCATCCTTGCCAACACTTGGTCTGAGAGTCTTTAATTTTTTTTTTAAGATTTTATTTTTCCTTTTTCTCCCCAAAGCCCCCCGGTACATAGTTGTATATTTTTAGTTGTGAGCCCCTCTAGTTGTGGCATGTGGGATGCCGCCTCAGCATGGCCTGACAAGCAGTGCCATGTCCGTGCCCAGGATCCCAACTGGCGAAACCCTGGGCTGCTGAAGCAGAGTGCGCAAACTTAACCACTTGGCCACAGAGCCGCTCCTATATTTTCTAATTCAACTCGTGATTTCTCCTTTGATCCATGGGTTATTTTAGCAGTATATTTTTTCATTTCCAAATATTTAGAAACTTCCTAGATATTGTTTTGTTATTGATTTTTTTTTTTTTAAAGATTGGCCCTGAACTAACATCTATTGCCAATCTTCTTTGTTTGTTTTTCTTTTTCTTCTTCTTCCCAAAGCCCCCCAGTACATAGTTGTATATTCTAGTTTTAGGCCCTTCTAGTCCTGCTTTTTGTTGTTATTGATTTTTAATTCAACATCATTGTGGTCAGAAATCCTAGGATTTCCATCCTTTGTAATTTTCTTTTCTTTTTTTTTTCCCGAGGAAGATTAGCCCTGAGCTAACTACTGCCAGTCCTCCTCTTTTTGCTGAGGAAGCCTGGCCCTGAGCTAACATCCGTGCCCATCTTCCTCTACTTTATATGTGGGACGCCTACCACAGCATGGCGTGCCAAGCAGTGCCATGTCCGCACCCGGGATCCAAACTGGCGAGCCCTGGGCCGCCGAGAAGCGGCATGTGCACACTTAACCGCTGTGCCACCGGGCTGGCCCCATATCCTTTGTAATTTTCTGAGGCTTGTTCTACTGCCCAGAACGTAGTCTATGGTGAATGCTACCTGAGAAGGATGTATATTCTCTCGTTGTTGGGTGTAGCATTCTGTAAATATCAATTAGATCATTTTGGTTGATAGTGTTGTTCAAATCTTCTATATTCTTACTGACTTTTTTCCGTTTGTTTTGTCAATTACTGAGAAAGGGATGTGGAAGTCTCCAATTGTGTTTGGAGATTCGTCTGTTTCTAGAAGACTTTAGTGCTATCAACTTTTGTTTCATGTATTTGGGAGCTTTGTTATCAGGTGCTTACATATTTAAAATGATTATGTGTTCTTGATTATTTGTCCTTTCTCCATTATGAAATATCCCTCTTTGTGTCTGGTAATACTCTTTGCCTTGAATTCTACTCCATCTGCTATCAGTACAGCCATACCAGCTTTCTTTGCTCAGTGTTCGCATGGTGTATCTTTTTCCATCCTTTTACTTTTGACCTCTCTGTGTCTTTATGCTTAAAGTGTGCTTCTTGTAAATAACATATAACCATTTTACCTATTTCGACAGTCTTTGCCTTTTCACTGGTGTGTGGCAGATCATGTTTTTCAAAGGTAGCCCCAATAATCTCTCCCATCCCACATGCTCTTCTGGAACCTTGCCATTTTCCCATCGAGAGGTGGAATTTAACCCTCCCCCCCATAATGGGGCAGGCTTGTGACTTGCTTGTAATCACCATACTATGGTACAAGTGATGCTGCTTGGTCTCAGAGGCTCACTCAGAGAGGCACACTTCTGCCTTGTGAACAGGGAGAGTCACTCTTCCAGCCTTTAGCCACCACCTAACCA